TTGGTGGGCGTCGTGAGGCCAGGCTGCTGTTTGTCAAGAACCCCTTTGTTGTCCTAGGTTGTCCTTTGACAAGGACGCCATGGTGGCCCGAGCCAGGCGCCTCATCGAGCTCTACCAGGAAGCCGGGATCAGCAAGGACCGGATCCTCATAAAGCTGTCGTCCACCTGGGAAGGGATTCAGGCTGGAAGGTGAGTATCTGCTGGGGGTTCTGGGGCAGGCGCCGTGTGGCCACGTCCAGGGAGAAGCAAGGCCCCCAGGAGGCCCCAGACTTCCGTCCTCCCGCTGGCACCGCCTGCAAAGAGCAGATCGTCGTCATCCCGGACGTGCTGAGTGGAACAGACAGAACAGCTGCCCCGAGCGTCCGGGCAGCCGGGGCGTCTCACGCACGACGGGGCCTGGGTTTTCTCGGCCCCTTGACACCTGCGGCCGCTCACCCGCTTTCTGGCTCTCCGGCGTTGCCTGCTCCGCTGTCTCACGTCAACAGGACCACAGAACACGTGGCCTTTTGTGTCACTTTCCTCGCGTGGCACGTTTCCAAGGTTCACTCAAGCGGCAGCGTGTGTCAGGGCCGCGTCCCTGCTGAGGCTGATGCTCCCTTGCGCCTACACCACATTTTGTTGGCCATTCGCTTTTGGGTGGACTTGTGGTGTTTCTGCCTTTGGGGCCGTCACGGGTGACGCTGCCTTGAACGTCCGTGTCCGGCCTTGGGGACTCGCTGGAGGGAGTAGGGTCTCCGTGTCGCGCCGGCCATGCCCCACTGGCTGTGCCGTCTGTGGCCCTACTTTTTTCCCGTTTACTTTGATACTTGTTATTTCTGTCAGTGTTTAGAACACTTTCTGAAAACCCTAGAAATTGTTCTCGACACCAAGTCCGCTGGTCTCACTCACCAGCTCCCTTTCCTGAGCCCTCAGCAGCTCATTACTCCAAGTGTCCCGAGTCCTAGCAGGGGAGTCGGGCAGCACAGCCAGGCCAACAGGAAGCTGCCATTAAAGTGGACACGTACGGGAGGCTGCAAGTACCGGGTCTCAGCCGCTGCCTCCACACGCACTCATGCAGACAGACTGAGGCCCAGGTCAGAACGGGGCTGAAATGTGTCCAAGCCATTCTTTTTTTTTTTTTTTTAATTTTTTGATTTATTTTTGAGAAAGAGACAGAGCATGAGTGGGGGGTGGGGAGAGACACAATCTGAGGCAGCTCCAGGCTCCAAGCTGTTAGCACAGAGCCCAACGCGGGGCTCAAACCCACACACCACAAGATCATGGTCTGAGCCGAAGTCAGACACTCAACCAACTGGGCCACCCAGGTGCCCCATGTCCAAGCCGCTTCTGAAGCCACATCCACACAGTGCCACGAGGCTGAAAACCTCCCCTAGCAGCACGGTGAGCACGTGGGCGCGTTGGCTAAGCGAGCGGAGCCCGGGGCCATGCCCGATGCCAGCACGGAGCATGATAGGCTCGGCAGCACCCATACGCAGCCTTCGTGGTCACTGGAAACTTGCTGTGCAGACGGAGCCCCGTGCAGATCAGGCCAGAGTCCTATTGAGGATTAGCTGTGTAGACTGTAGCTTTTGCTGCCAAATCTGTCTGGTTTCTTCTGCAGTTTTGTCTTTCCCCGTGTCAGCGTGAGATGGGACAGAGTCCTATCCTTTGTGAATCCCCTGTTCACAGACTGTTTGCCCACAGTGTCTGTCTTCTGTTTCACACTTTTGATAAATTAACCTCCCAGAGCGCGCGCGCACACACACAGACACACACACACACACACACACACGCCTTGCCCCAGCTGCTTCCAAAAATGCACCGCATTTGCTGCTGGGTGTTGCTGAGGTGGTGGTCGCAGGAGGGCCTGTCCTTGAGCACCACACCTCCCGTGGGCCAGCCTGAGCCGCAGGCGCCCGCGCCAGGGACACACAAGCACTGTGCTGTGCACGGGCCGTGGCAGAGGCCGGCCACCCGCCGCCACCTCGTCCTCCGCAGCCACACTTCCTGAACGCTACCACGGAGGCCACTCTGAAGCTGTCCCTTGGGGTAGAAACATGTCTAGAGGGGCCTGAGCGCAGGCCTGGCCGTCGCGGCCCACTCCCCAGTGTGTGGCAGAGTGGGCACTGCCTGTCTCGGGTCAACCCCAGGACATCCCAGTGCACTGTGGCGCAGGGGGTGGGGCGGTACTGTGTCAGGTGAGCCCGCAGTGTCCACCCCGGCCAGCTCTGGGAGGCGGCGCGGGACCGGGCTCCCAGGTGCCAATGTGCGTGTCTGGGCCAAGGAGGCCCACTGTGGCTCCCGGGGGACCTGGCTTGCCTTTGTCCCTGTTTGGAAGTGTGAGTTTGATGAAAATTCCAGTCACCCCTCACCCGCTGGCTGGGAAGCGCCCTGCTGAATGTCGCAGATGTGCTGTGGAGGGAGGGGCCACCCCATTCCCGCCTGTCCCGCGAGGGAATCAGGAGCATCTTTCCAGAGGAGGTGGGAGTTGTGGCGCAGCGCAGGCTCCCGGGGGTCCCTGACCCGGCTCACCCCGCCCTGTCCCCCCAGGGAGCTGGAGGAGCAGCACGGCATCCACTGCAACATGACGCTGCTCTTCTCCTTCGCCCAGGCGGTGGCCTGCGCTGAGGCGGGGGTGACACTCATCTCCCCCTTCGTGGGCCGCATCCTCGACTGGCACGTGGCCAACACAGACAAGAAGTCCTACGAGCCCCTGGAGGACCCCGGTGAGCTGCCCCTGGGAGCACGGGGGAGGGGTGCAGCAGGGCCCGGGTGGTGGCGCTGTGGGCGGGCAGCAGTGCAGCCGGGAAGCCGCTCAGGAGCGCGACGTGTGTCACCACAGGGGTGAAGAGCGTCACCAAGATCTACAACTACTACAAGAAGTTTGGCTACAAGACTATTGTCATGGGCGCCTCCTTCCGCAACACGGGCGAGATCAAGGCGCTGGCGGGCTGTGACTTCCTCACCATCTCGCCCAAGCTGCTGGCGGAGCTGCTCAAGGACAACAGCAAGCTGGCACCCACGCTGTCAGCCAAGGCGGGTAAGGCCGCCGCACCGGGTCCCAGCGGCACGGGGTGGGGCGGGCGGACACAGAAGGCCCTGGGTGACGCCTGTGCCCCCAGCCCAGGCGAGCGACCTGGAGAAGGTGCACCTGGACGAGAAGGCCTTCCGCTGGCTGCACAACGAGGACCAGATGGCTGTGGAGAAACTCTCGGACGGGATCCGCAAGTTTGCTGCCGACGCCGTGAAGCTGGAGCGGGTGCTGATGGTGAGCACCCCAGGGTGGAGTCGGGCAGCGCCGGGACTTCCGTGGGGACCCTGGGGGCGTCAGTTCCCTGGCAGCCTGGGCGGGACTCCGGCGGAGGCCCCGCTTCCTTCCTGTGCCGAAGGCGGGATGGGGGTGGGGGCGAGCCCTTCCTGGCACCTCTCACGCTGTCCCCTTCCAGGAACGCATGTTCAGCGCAGAGAATGGAAAATAGCAGAGCGCCTGAGGCCGGACCCACATCTGCACCGCCTGATCAGGGCAGAGTGTATGCGCCTGCGATGAATTGTGCATTTTTTACCAATTGGAGCCGGGACGGATCATAGATTCTATGTAAAATTTTACCTAACTCATTAAAGCAATCACTTTTCTTGCTACTTTCCCGAGTCTGGCTGCAGCCCCTTCACTGGGCACCGCTGCCCCAGCCTCTGGCTACAACCGGAGTCCAGCTGGGGTGACCCAGGCTGCCACAGGCCCTCACCTTGGCCATGCGCCCGTGAGGCGGTGACCTGGGAGGCCCAGAGCGTGCGGCTGGAGCCAGCAGGTGGGGGCACCCCTGCCGCTTCCGTTCCCATGTGGAGCGGCGGTGGCGTGCCGTGGGGACGGTCTGGTGTGCGCTGGCTGATAGCTCGGAGTCCCGGCTGCCGTGTGGCACTGCTTCACACGGACACCTCCCCTGGCAGTCCGTCCCCAACATGCTGCACAGGGAAGGGTTTGCGGGGGCGGTGATGGGGGCCCATAGGGTCACAGGCCACCCCTCTGCCCTCCAGGATGACCACTCCAGGTCCGTGTGGGCAGAGCCAGATGTCCGGGACAGACCTGCTGAGACACAGCCCTGGGTCCCACCAGCGGCCAGCAGGGAGGCCAGCGCCCCCTTCTGCTGGGGTCAGAGCATCAGGGCTTGGTGTTGGTTCCAGAATGGCCCCCTGGCCACCTCCCCAAGGGAGGTTTCTGGGCACGGGGCCCACCGTGGGCTGCATCACCTGGGGTGTGCGAGCCTGACCCCAGCAGGTCCAGCCTGTGCTGAGACCCACCTTGGGGGTGCGGGGAACAGGGGCAGGTCCCATCATGGGGGCTGCTGGGTGTCAGAACGATGGCTTTGTGCCTGGGCTCATCCCAGCCCTCGGCTGACGGGCAGGCTGGGGTCAGGCCTCCCCCTCCAAGCTGGTCAAGAGGCTGCACCCTAGGACTTGGAATCTCTGTCCCCAATCCTGACGCGAGGCCTCAGGTCTGAGTGACTGGCCCACCCACTCACGTCCGGGCGGCAACATCAGTGCTCTGACCCCGCAGGCCACGCAGCTCCAGACACTCGCACCACCCTGATGAAGGGCCCTGTTTCTTCACCCCCACCTCCCACCCCCAAATAACAGCCGTACTTTGGATTTTCTGGGTAGTTCATGTAAATGAACTCGCACATGTGGTCCTTGAGGTCTGGCTTCGTTGCGTGTTCTCAGGGTTCAGTCCAGACGATGTTATCAGAGCTTCATTCCTTTTTGTGGCCAATACTCTACCACAGGGACGTTAATACTGTCTGGTAGTGAGACTACTTGGGTTGGGGCACCTGGGGGGGGTTGGTTAAGCATCCAACTCTTGGTTTCCGCTCAGATCATGATCCCACAGTTCGTGGGTTTGAGCCCCATGTTGGGCTCTGTGCTGAGAGCATGGAACCTGCTTGGGACTCTGTCTCCCTCTTTCTCTGCCCCTTCCCCATTCACACTTGCTCTCAAACAAACAAAAAAAATACTCAGGTTATGGAAACTACAGTTTGCTTAAAACGTTTGTTATTGTGAAAAGTGCTGCTACAGATGCTTATGCATTATCTCTGAGGTTATTTCTTGTGGGCAGACGTCAGGGTCTGTTATAAAGCCCCAGGCACCCACACCCTGCCCCTTCTGGGGGGTCCTGCACTTCTCGGAGCCTGGAGGTGCCCCCAGCCCCACACCCTGGACCTGGCAAACCAGGGCCGAGCCACGGCGGCCGCCCAGGGAACGGCTGTGTGGGGCGCTCGGCCGGGCCCACCCCGATCCGAAGCGCGGAAGCACGAGCGTTAGGGCTCTCCGTAGGTCACACGGATGAAACCATGAGGGGTGATCTTTAAAAACCCCGCGGTGGTCAGTGGAGTAGGCCCGAGGCCCCTGGCGGAGCTCGCCGGCCCGCAGGGTGCGCACAGCAGGGCACCGGGGTCAGGAGCTCCTGGTACAGCGCTCCCAGCAAACGCCCGACGGAGGGGGCGAGGGAGCCTCAGCACGGTCTACTGCGCCGGAAGAGGCACCCAAGGGTGCCTTGCTTCCTTCTTCCTGCTTGGTTCCGAGGGGCTGGATGCAGAGCAGAGGCGGGCCGGGGAAGGGAGGGGACAGGGAGGCTGGGACCCGAGAGAAGGCCCGAGCAGCTCGAGGAGGTCCCGCCACAGGCCGCAGCCCAGGCCAGGCACGCCGAGGAGACCAGAGGGTGATCCGGACGCACCGGGAAGGAGCAGCCCCAGCAAAGGCCGGCCACACGCAAGGCCTCCTGCCGGGCAGGGCCTGAGCTCTTGTCACTTCTACTCTGCAAGCCCGGCGGCCCCCGGGCAGCACTGTGGGCGAGCAGAGCCGCACTCTGAAGACTCACGAGCAAGCACGCTTCTGTCCATTCAGACGGGACGTGGTGATACCTGCCCCGAGGCCCCCCTGGCCTGTGTCAGTGTCACCATCACAATTTGAAACCACACACCAGGCAAGGATTATGATCAAGGCAGCACCTTCAGCACCAGCCGGTCGGGGGGCCGGGAGTTTGTATCCCAGTGAGCAGTGCTGAGGCGGCCCCAGCCAGCTGGAGCACAGCCCCCCAACACCCAAAGGGGTGGGGGCAGCAGCCTGGACACCGTCACCACACAAAATGGGACCCTGGTGGCCTGGAGAGGCTCGGCCTGGGCGGACAGGGACAGGAAGGGCGAGACCTGCCACCCAGCGCCCAGGAAGACCCGAGGGGCCGAGACCCCACATCGGGACCCCCGCGGCTGACTTACTCAGACCAGCTCTCCGTGCTCAGAATTCTCGGAGACCACCTGTTGGCCCCTCGCCCTCCCTCTGCTCCAACAAAAATGCCCCTCAGGGCTCATTCCTGGAGGCCTCAAGCCCACAGTGTCAGGCCTGGAAAGTCACTCTCAGGGGAAGTCATGGAGGCAGCGTCCACCGGCAGGCTGACTGGCTGGGCAGGAAGGCATCTCACTTCCTGCAGGACAGGCCAGGTCAGGGGTCAGGCTCCGGCAAAGGGCCAGTCACCTGCCCACCCACGGCTCTGCCGCGGCCCCCGCCCCCACCCAGCCATCCATGCTGTCGGCGGTCCCCCCCCACGTCCACCCTCGCCGCCAGCGGCCCCTCACCGGCTGCCGCACAGGAAGAGCAGATTCTGCACGGCCGGGACGGTGGAAGTGGCGTTCTGGCCCGTGACGAGGTGGCGGTCCAACACCACGTGCACGGCATCAGGCTCGCTGGCTGCAGGGGCCCCAAGAGTGCGGGCCTCAGGCAGTGCCACGCACCAGGCTCACCCCTCTCCCTTTGCAGGGGCCCGAGGCGGACTGGGCCTGGGCTCCCCCACCCCAGGGCTCAGCCGCAGCCCCTGCCCGGCGTCCCCCACCCGGCTCACCACTGAAGCTGGCGCCCGCGTCCTTTACGAAGTCCTCCACGATGAGGGGCAGGCAGGCAAAGCCAGGCGCCCTGACGAGCTCGTACACGGAGGGCTATAGGGGAACGGGATTCCCACCCCCAGTCAGGAAGGTCCGAACCAAGCAGGGGCACCAGGGCCTCCATGTGCAGCCGGGCTGTGCGTCCTGCACCAGGAGTCCGCCCTCCAAGGGCTGAGGCTACAAGGCCACTGTCACCCTCCATGGCACCGGGGCGCAGGAGCCAGTGACGGGGCTGGGCTGGGCAACGGGCAGAGCCCGGGGAGAGGGTCGTGGGTACGGCTGCCCCAGGGCCGCACACTGAGGTGCCCGTGCGGCTCTCTTCCCACCCCCAACCCGGGTCGCACCACTGGCCAGGCCAGGCCCATGCAGACCCAAGTGGTTAGGCCATAGTCCTCGAAGCCGGACCCTCCCTTCGGCCTCCTGTCAGCCCAGGCCCTCTCCCCTCACTCCGGAACCTACTTCCTGGACACGAAGGGTGCCGTGCACTCGACAGGCACAGAAGCAAGGTCTTGGCCTGACCCCTGCTCCTTCCCAGGCATCCCAAAGTCACCCCCTCCCCCCCACACACACACTAGGAGCCCCTCCCCACTCCAGAGCCTGTGCCTATGCCCTGGGGGCCATCCAGGAGGTCAGCAGGGGAGGGAGAGGGAGGGGCAAACAAGCAGCCTGGGGTTGGAGACCTGTGATCCCGCTCTGGTCACCCTTGCCAGAGGAGACAGTCCCCATGCCTCCAAGTGCATACGCGGGTCTTTGATGCCTGTCTATGGCTTGGGACCCTCCCTCGCACTGCACTCACCCCTGTGACGCTGTAACCCTGGAACACCCACGACCGGTCCTCGCTGGTGGCGCAGCAGAGGGCGGCAACACCGTGGCCGATAGCACAGATGGGCTCTGAAAGCAGGGGCAGGGCCTCAGGCCTGGAAACCCACCCCAGCCCCTGCTCCTCTCCCCACACCTCCCACCTCAGAGCTCCCTCCGCCACGGGGCGCGACGGGCCCACTGACCCCCCTGGGGCAGCTCCGGGCTGCAGGCCCGGCTCAGCCTCTGACAGCAAACATCTGAGCACGTAACCTGCACGCTTGGCGTCACCGTGTGGCAGCCCCCCCGGGAGCTTCCCTGCAGCGCCCCTGCCCTGCCCGAGCCACCCGGAGTCCTCCCAGAAGACCGGGGGCGGGGGGCACTGCAGGGAGAGCTCGTGCCCTCGGCGGCAGTGGCGGCTGGGAACAATCACTCTCTGTCCAGACCACAGACAAAGGTCATTGTGTGGAGCCCCTGGGTTCTGTCTGTTGGTGCCTAATGAGCATCCTGTCCGCATCCCGCTGTCAGGCCTGGGCAGCACGCCACGTGTCCACAGAGCAGCCTTTCTCCTGGCCCCTGCCCGCCTGCAACCCTGAACCCCACAATGAACAAAGCCAGCAGGTCACCCGCCCGCCTCAGACAGAGTTGGGGGGAGCAGCCACCAGCTCCCACGGAGGCCAGGAAGGGACACATGCAGGGCGAGCAAGAGGGGCACGCACAGGGGACACAGGGAGGCACGCCCCACCACGTGCGTGTGCACCCGTGCATGCATGCACGCGCGCACTTCATGTCAGGGTCAGAGGCTCTCTGCGTCTGCCCCGTCTGGCCCCCAGAACATCCCTACTGGCCCTTCCTGGCTCTTGGTGCTGCCTCGCGCACCCCCCTAGGCCCAGGGGTCACCTACTGCTCTCTGAGCGGAAGTGCTGGAGGATGCGGGCCAGGGACCCACTGCTGGCCAGGTCGACCAGGGCCCCGGGACAGCTGGGAATCAGGAGGGCATGGTACCGGGCACCTGCAGGGAGACCACAGCCGTTTGGTCAGAGTCAGTGAGGACGCCGGCTGCTCCGTGACAAGTGCATCAGAAGCAGAAGCAAGGGAGCTCTTTGGAGGCCAGAAACCCACCTGGGATCCCACACCCCAAAGCCCCAAGGTCTTGCCCCCTGGGCCCCTCACCATCTATGGACTCCAGCTTGGCGGGGCTTGCGTAGGCCTTGAGGCGGAAATCCTGCACCCAGCGGGCGTTGCTCTCGGTCACGTCCACGAAGTCCATGGCCCTCCCCTGCAGGCGCAGCCACGGACAGACACCCCACTGTTGGAGGCTGGCAAGAGCTTGGGGACAAAGGCATCGACAGCCCAGCCCCTCACCCCGCCTCGCCACACCCCCTAGCTGCCCCTGCTGGCCCTTGTCTCCCACCTATTTGGTGCCAACTGTCCCCCTGGGAATGACAACAGAAACATGCCAAGTGACAGATGCTTAGGCATCACTATGAGCCCCAGGTCCCACGCCAAGGAGAACTGGAGACGGTGGAAGGTCCGTGCCATCTCGCTCACGTGTGCAGGCACCGACCCACGGCAAAAGGTCTCCCTCCCCACAGTGGGCCCAGAGTTTGACGATGCCACCAGGGTCCTGAGTCCTCAGCCCAGCCACTCCCTTGGCGTCGTGTCAGCCTCAGGCTCCCTGCTCCTCCCTGAGACCAACAGAACTCCCCCAGCTTCACCCCCGAAGAGGTAGGGACCCCACCCGTGCGTCTGGCTGGACTCACCCCAGGTGTGGCCACCTGCAGGTTGAAGGCGGCGCCAGCCAACGTGAAGCAGTGCAGGAAGGACTGAGCCGACACACCTGTGAGAAGGTGAACGCGGCTCTAAAAAGGCCACAAGGCTCTGGGGGCAGCACGAGGGGCAGCAGGGCACACACCCCCAGCTCCAACCTGGAGTGCCCAGACACCCCGATGTCTCCTGGTCCCCCACCGCACCGGAGGGCCACCTCTCACAGCCCACGGGCCCCGTCCCCACAGGACAGGCTCTGGCCACTAAAAGCCTTTCCAGAAGGCAAACCCAAGTGCAAGGTCCTCATCCACTCACTGAACCAACACTGAGTCCGCCCCCCACTCCCCCTACAGTCAGCCAAGGAGGCAACAGTGAGCAAGGCCTATGTCCTCAGGGGTGGGCAAGAGTCGGCAGAACGTGGGGGCACGCCAACGTTCTCGCTCCCACCGGAAGGCCTCGGCCTCACTGGATACTTGGGCCCTGGACCCTGCCCCATCCCCGGTGCTGGGGCTATCTGCTTCTCCCTTCCACCTTCATCCCAAACCCCGACCGGGTCCGAAATCTCATCTTCATTCATCCTCACGCACTAACTGTATTAATCACAGAGTGCACGCGCTGAGCAAGGACACTACCCGCAAATCATCCCCCAGACTGCCTGGCTGCTCGCTACTTCCCTGACCATGCTTCACCCCAGGGCCTCCTGAAGGGACTCTGGAGGGACCCCCTCATCCTGCCTACAGTGCCTAGTGGCCTAGGCAGAGCTCTGCCCCCACCCCACGTCCTCAACATCCCTTCCCCTTGGTACAGCCACGCTGGGGCAACGCCTCCTCACCCTCATCCACTCCAGCCAGCCACCTTTGGTGGAACCCCAACCAGCCTCTTCGGGACTGGACGTCCTTCCCCGTGGCTCCTCCCACCCTCAGTGTGGGCTCAGCGCACAGTGACCCCAGACCCGCAGTCCTCGCTGCCTCACCCTCTAGCGCCTCTAGGGTTCAAGAAGCAGACCAGGCTCCAGAGCCAGACCCCAGGTCCCAACCCGGGGTCGCCACCTCCCCCACCACGTGACCGTGGGCTCACCACTTCCCTCTGACAAAGGCAGCACCGACGCTCAGGGCAGCGTCAGCTGCCTCCCCTCCCGTTCGTTCGTTCCTTCCCTGCTGGCCCTGAGGAAGGCTCTGCGCGGTAACAGCAGACCCGCCAGCTCAGCTGTCCTGCTCGAGCCCCACGCCAGCCCCTCCCGGAGCCCTCACCACGTGGCGGGTCTCAGGGGTCCTCTGCCCGCACGTCTCCGCCCCCAGAACGGTCCCTTCTCCAACCCCTCGTCCTCCTGGGTCGGCGCAAGGCCAGCCAGCAGGCAGGTGGGCACAGGCTCATGACCCACCTGCTCCGGAAGCCCCCCCCCCGGCCCCTCAGAAACCCCACCGCCCCTCCGCACCCCGAGGCCTGCCCGCCCCCCACGCGGCACCTGCGGGTGCCATCCCGGGACCCGCTCTCCTGCCACAGAGGCGCCGGGGCGCGGGGCCCCTCCTGCGGTCGGCCAACGCCCCCGCGCCCGGGACAGCGGCGCCGCTCCCTCTCCAAGGCGGGGCTTGCACCTGCCTCCCCGCCGGCGCCGCTGGACGCCCGCCCGCCCTCGCGAGCCTCACCCTCGGCGGCGCCGCTGGCCACGAGCAGGCAGGCGGGCCGGCTCTGCAGTCGCTCGGACGCCATGGGCTCAGCCAGGGCGAGGGCGGCCTGCGCGTGCGTGACGTGTGCGTGTGTGTGTGCGCGTGCGCGGCCGGGGATCGCCGGGTCACGTGCCGCGGCGCCTTGAGGCGGGGCTGCGAGCGGCGCCGGGCGCATGCGCCGTCCTTCCCCCCGCCGGGTCCGTCTCTCGGCGCGGATCCGGGGCCGCGTCCGCGCCGCGCGGCTGCGTCCTGGGCCGCGTCCCCGGCCCGGCCGGCTCTGTGGGCGGGGTGGCGGGCGTGCGGGGCTCTGGCCTTGGCCGCGGCGCCTCGGGGGAGAGCGCGGGCTGGCTTCCCCGGAGGACCGCCCCCGCAGCGCTGAGCACACCCCGGGCGCGGCCCCCGGGCGCGGGCGGGAACAGGGCGCCCCCCTGTCCGTCTTCCTCCTCCCCTGGGGAGGAGCGCGAACTTGGAGAACCGCTGCCCGTAGAGAAAGTCCGCGCCCCGTGGAGGTGGGTCCCTCCCAGTGGACGAAGGTCCCTCCCTGTACATCAAGGTCTCGTTGGTGGACGTACCTCCCTGGAGGTGAAGGACCCTTCCCGTGGATTTGGACACTTAACGCTTGCGCACTGAGACTGAAGACGCAACGTAGAATACCAGGGGCAAAGCACCCTGCCCTCTGAGGCTCTTGTCTTGGGGGTGAAGGCTGGAATACGGATTCATAGAATGTGACAGTCGTTTGTTAGTGAGAAGAGCAGTGGAGTGGGCAGGCTCACGGAGAGGGGGTGGGTGGGGCGCTCACATGGGAATGGGGGGCACATCTAAGGAGGAGCTGGGTCAACTGCTCACCCGGAGCACAGAGGGTGGGCCTGCAGTGGTCGGTGAGGGCAGGGCGGGAGTCTGGAGGCCCTGGAGGACCGTCCAGGTGTCCACAGAAGTGGGGGCGGGATGGACGGGCTCTGCCTCACCAGGATGGTTGTGGGGAGACCGAGGTATCCAGGGTCACTGGGGCTCCGATAGAACATGGGTGGCACTTCCTGAGCTGCTACATGGTGCTGAGTTTGGTAAGGATCCCGAGGATGCTGTTTAGCCAAACTGCATTCTATGGAATGGTGTTTCCATAGATTGTCTAGGAGACAGTGGGGTGGGTCACAGCAGATTCCTCGGTGCTCTTTAAGGCCTGGGCTAGTGAGCAGGGAGGCGGTAGAGGGGCCTGGGCACAAGCTGGTGGTTAAGAGGAGCAGGTCCACCCTTTGGCCCCACAGGCCACCCTCCAGGACCCCCTGCTTCCAGGGTGGAGCACTGGCCAGTAGGGTTCCCCCAAGGTCCTGCCAGTCTCTGCCCTGACTAGGGAAATGTTTGTCATGGGTAAGGGATGCCAGAGTGGGTGAGTCTAGGCCAGGTGCCTCTCCTGGGTCTCCTGGACACCTGTCTCCACCGCCACTGGCTCTGTCATATGCCTGGCTAAGCCCCATGCTCCCAGGAGTCCTGGCCAGCAGCGACACAGTCAGGACCTCAACCCCTGCAGGGCCCTCCCTCCAGAGCGAAGCAGGAGCTACGGGCAGGGCCCAGACAGGGGAAGGAGTGTGCTGGGTGGGTGACAGACTGGATGGAAACCCGTAAGCCTTAGGTCAGACCACAAGCTGGGCCAAGCCACATGAAGAGCTTTCTCCCACCCCCGCCGTGCACATTCGTGGGACCCAGGGCAGCCCTGACACCTACCTCTTGCATCACAGAGACTCATTAAGCCACACTGGTCATCTTGGTCGCTAAGAGGACAGAAAAGGAAGCCTGGCTGTGACACCGTACAGCAAGGCTGATGTGTGTGTGTGCCTGTGAGCGTGCGTGTGCACCAGTGTGCACCCACTGCATACTCAGGCCCTTGCAAGACTCCTGCCGGATGAGCCCTCCCACCTAAGCAGGCAGAGCAGACCTTCTGGTTCACGTGCCCCGTATTCATGCCATCTTGTTCTTGCACGTGTGCATGGCCCCCACCCTAGTCCGGGGCAGCGTGCTTGGGCCCAGCAGCGGCTCCCAGCACAGGCACCTGTAAGGCTCTGGGTCCCGTGTGGCGCGTGGAGTTGGAGTGGGCAGCCTGCACTGGGGCAGGTGTGGTGATCCGGGGCCTTGCCAACCAGGTGCCTCACTCTGGGTCTGGCAGCAGCCTGTCTCTCTGTGTGTGCCCCTGGGGACAGTAAGGACTTGGACAGGATGATGCCTGAGGCCCTGTCATGGTGACCGGGATGAGCCTGAGGCGGGGGTACCCCCCAGGTGGGGTTGTGGCCTCTTGTGCTCCACACACGCCCAGTTGTGATGCTGGCTCATCTGCCTACTTCCTGAGTGGGTTCCCACTCCGGTGGGTCAGCCCTTGCCCTTTAGACCCCCTCACCCCCAGTGGCCGAGGAGGGGTTGCCACTCAGGTCCTGCTTTGGACATGATTGGGGCTGCCGCAGAGGGAAGGATGGGCAGGCAACCCTCCCTCCCAACGGCGGAGCGCGGGAGGGCCTCAGTGGATCAGGCGGGTCTGTGGCCAGTGGCCCCTGTCTGGATGACTGTCGCCTGGGAAGGATCCAGGCCCGGGGGAACCGTGGTGGGGGCCTCTCCCCTCTCCCTCCTGCTGAGCCTCTTCCCCAGGTCCTTGCCCAGAAGCTGAGGTCCTGAGCTGTGGGGCCCATGGGCGCGGAGTTCTGGGACATCATCTACAAGCTGTTCAGGAACCTTATCATCCAATAGTGAGTTCCCGGTGGGGCAGGTCAAGTTGGAGGGTGCTTGGGGACTGGGCACAGGGGCTCTGCTGGAGGCATAGTGATGCCCTTGAACCTGGGGTTTTGCCTTTTGTTCAGGGACACTGATCAGGAGGTGCAGGGGTCACATGACATGTTGTCAAGCACCAGTGAAAAGGTTTTGTTTCATCCCTGTCTCGGGAAGTGGCTCCAGGCAGAGAAAGGATGGGTGCGTGAGGAGCCATTCCTGGAGCAGGCTGACTGATGCCTCAGGACGTCCAGTCTCCCTTCCGTCCTTCCTTAACGACTTCCTTGTTTTCAGAGCGCGTCTGAGCCTCTTCCTGGGTCCCTTAGCACTTGCTGCTCCTCCCTCTGAAAGGCTGGAGCTCCTCTATCAAACGCCTAACTGTTCCTCAAAGCCCGTGGGCACCAGAGGCACCATTTGCCCAGCACTCCCTTACTGAGAACACCCTGCAAACTTACAAGGCTGCCCTGTCTCCCACCCACCCCCTCCCCCCTCCCCCCTCCCCCCGCCCTCGCTCAGCCCAACCACTGGGTGGACCTCAGGGGACCTGGGACTGGCCTCTGTCTCTCAGGCGGGTGGGTCATGGGCAGCCCTGCCGGCCAGGCTCCCGCCAGGTGACTGTCTCTGGCCCCACATGCATCCCTCTTCCCGGCTGGGCTCAGGCCCCTCAGCTCCCTGTCTTTCTTTGGCTGAGGCTGGGCTGGGTGGGGTCTGGAGACTTAGACCCCAAGCGCTTGTGAGCCCTGCAGACCCTGAACCAGACAACAGAGGGTGGCGAATGGCAGCCCCGAAGGCATGAGGGGCTGCTGAGGCCCGGGCAGCGGGCCGGGCGCACTTCGCCTTGCGACCTCACCTAACAGAGGACTGTTGGGGGTGGGTAGCTGGCGCTCCATCCGCCTCCCAGGCTGGCAGGGTGTGGCCGGAAGACGTCAGACAAGTGGGCAGTTTGGTGGCCTGGACTGAGGTGATGTGACAGGGAGGCAGGCTGCATGTCCTCCCAAAGACGTTAGGACAGGGATCAGCGGGCGGGCGGGACGATCCAGAGGAGAGTCTGAATGGGGTTCCCCTCAAACACACCTCCAGGTACCAGCGTGCTGGCGTGGGGAGGGGGCAGCTGCCAACTTACACTCATGCTTTATGCCCAGATGCCAGCCATGGCTCCCAGGGACGTCACCTGAGCATTCTCTGCAGCAGCACGAGGAGTGAGCTGCTCTCCCGGCTGGACAGTCCCCCTGTGCTGCAGCCACTGGGCGGCGGGTGGCACAGCCCCTCGCTCTGCTCAGCAACCCTCTGCCAGCCCTCGCCAGCCCTGCCGTGGCCAAACACCGCAGATGGAAATGTCCACGCACATCAGGACCAGCCGCTGGGACACAGGAGCCTCTGCCTGTGTGGCCCTGGGACGAGGTGTGAGGTCGGGGAGCCGCTGGCCCAGGACAGGCCCTGAAGACCAAGGCCCAGGAGTCAGGGAGGACTGGCCCTCAGCAGCTCGAGTAAGGCTCCGGCGCAGTGAGATTGCTGCCTGTGCCTTCTCTGGGGTATTGATCACTCTACCCCAATGAAGGAAGAGAGGACCTAGGGGACCCCACTTGGCCCCCTGCCTGTATGTGGGGAGAGCAGGGTCCTGAGACATTGACCAGCTTTAGTCCCTGGTCACACCAAGAGCGTGTGCCAGGATGGGAGTCCCCAGAGAGGCGCTGCACGTTCATGGGGGAGCGGAGGGGAGCTAGAGAGGAAACCAAGGTAGACCCCCAACACACGGGTCTTCTGCGCTCTTGTAGCCTGATCACACACATGCCACAAAGGCCACATGTGACACACCACGTGACACGCCACGGTATGGCGATAGGGAGACCCTAGCTGCCGGTACAAAAGCTCAGTAAACAAGGGCTGAGAGTCTGGGTCTCTGGGGAGCCCCTGTGGTGGGGGGGACAGGGTCCCCTCTGACAGTGAGATGATGCTCCCACCTGAGTTTTCTGATGTCCTTGTAAATTTGATTTAGATTTAGAGTATGTACTTTTTTAAAGATTTCATTTGTCTAAGTAATGTCTACACCCAGTGTGGGGCTCAAACTTACAACCCCTAGATCAAGAGTCTCATGATCTACTGACTGAGCCAGCCAGCTGGGGGCCCCTATTGTATGTACTTTCTAAATTTAAATGTATATATATATATATATTTTTTTTTAATGTTTTTTATTTATTTTTGAGGGTCAGAGAGCATGAGCAGGGGAGGGGTGAAGAGAGAGACACACACACACAGAATGTGAAACAGGCTCCAGGCTCTGAGCTAGCTGTCAGCACAGAGCCTGACGCGGGGCTCGAACCCACGAACTGTGAGATCATGACCTGAGCCAAAGTCAGAAGCTTAACCGACTGAGCCACGCAGGCGCCCCTAAATGTATATATTTTTTAAAATATTTATTTTTTGAAGGAGAATGTGAGCGGGGGAGAAGCAGAGAGAGGGGGACAGATGAGCTGAAGTGGGCTCTGCACTGACAGCGGCAGGCCCGACGAGGGGCTCGAACTCACGAACCACAGGATCATGACCTGAGCTGAAGTCAGACGCTCAACTGCCTGACCCACCGAGGTGCGCCTGTGTGCGGTTTTCATACAGGGGGTACTGTCTGTAGCTAGTATTTTTTTAAGTAATAACAATAATGTCAGCTATCCCTGATTATCCCCAGGAGTTTGCTTCATTTTGGAAAGGTCCTTACATTACTCAAGTTCAGGGACGCAATGAGACAGAAACAGCATCAGAACCCCACATGGGGCCCCAGGGACCTCAGCTAACTTCTGACATTCCCAGGGAAGCGACTGCAGGAATGGTGTGTGGAAAATTAGAAATAAAGAAACAAGATCATTAGCAAGTGATGTCACAAAGCTACACAAACAGGTAGCAGGTGCTAGCCGAGCCGGCTCAGACCAGGCCCTGGCTGCGCTGGGAAGTGGAGCCAGACGCGGTGTCAGTGGGGTGACGGACCATCCTACAGTCCGTCGGATCTGCTGACGTAAAAGAAGTAACATTGCATTTACTCCACACACAAAACCTGAGGTCCAGACAGGTTTTTAAAACATTTATTTGTGTTTGAGAGAGAGAAACAGAGTACGAGCAGGGGAGGGTCAGAGAGAGAGGGAGACACAGAATCTGAAGCAGCTCCAGGCTCTAAGCTGTCAGCACAGAGCCCGACGCGGGGCTCGAACCCACGAACCGTGAGATCATGAGCTGAGCTGAAGTCAGACACTTAACCGACTGAGCCCCCCAGGTGCCCCGAGAAATGACATTTACTAAACACGAGCAAATGCTGAGACTGTTATCCTGCAATAAGAAAGAGCCTCCTAACCGAGATCCAGAAGCATAAGCGGTGAAGGGAACGGTGGTTACGTGTGATGAACGCAGGCTTTAGAAGGTCTGTGCTCAGGAGACCCAGCCAAAGCCAGCTGCAAAGGAAAGACATTCGCACTGTGACAAAAGCTGGGTATGCAAAACACGTAGAGAAGGCCTCCAAACAGGAGCGGGAGGTGTTCCATGCAAAAGAAAAATGGACAAACGGCACCGACAGGAAAGATCATGAAAGGGGAGACCCAAGTGGCCAAGAACTGTGTGAAAAGGAGGACCTCAGGCCGGCGCAAACAGAAGCCACCAGAAGTCGGTCTGCCCCATTTGGACTGGAGTGTTTCACCCCGCCCTCTGTTATGGTGGAGAGGGGAGCGGTGCCCTCACGGCTGTCCCCCCGGCAGAGCGCCGGGGTTTCAGACACACGCGCCGCGCCAGCCGCCCCTGCCGGTGTGTATCCCGGACAAGAGGCTGCCGAGTCTGAAGATCCGAGCTTGGCCACGTTCACAGCAGCGTTAACTCACAGCAGCGAAAAGGTGGGAGCGACCCCGTGTCCGCCCACGGATGGGGTCCATCCACACCCTGGACTGTCTCTCGGCCCTGACAAGGAGGGACACTCTGACACCTGCCACAACGTGGACGGACCCGGGGGGCGTGATGCTCAGTGAAACAGGAAGACAGACACCGTGTGGCCCACTCACTGAGGCCCCTGGAGTCCACAGACTCACGGAGACAGAGAGTGGCCGGTGGGGAGGGGCTGGGGGTCCCTGTTTCATGGGACAGAGTTTCCCTTTGGGAAGATGGAAAGTTCTGGAGATGAAGGGTGGGGACGGCTGCACAACAGTGTGAATGTGCTCAGTGCCCCTGAGCTGCGTGCCTAGAGTCGGGGAAGACGGTGCTTGTTAGGGGCACCTGGGTGCCTCCGTCGGTTAGGCGATGACTCTTGGTTTCAGCTCGTGTCATGATCTTCCGGTTCATGAGTTCGTGCAGAGCCTGCTTGGGATTCTCTCTCTCCCTCTTGCTCTGCCCCTCCCCTGCTCTCGCACTCTCTCAAAATAAACATTTAAGCAAAAAGATGCGACATTTGGTGTGATGTGTGTTTTGCCACAATAAAAGAAAAGAAAGATGTGCTCGCATCACACACGTTCCACCCCAAGGACACATGGGACAAACGTTTGGAAACCATCTAAACCCGTGATGAATCCGATGGGCAACGTTGGGGGGAGTACCTGTGTCAAAAAGCCAAGCTCTGGACTCTGGACTTGTCCTCGAGGTCACATCTGCTCGAGGGGCAGTATGTTTTTAAAGAGCAAGCCACAGAGTGAGAAAATGGGAGTGGGGACTAGACGGCAGACAGGTGGCAAGTGCCCTGACGTGGGGCCGGTGGCCTGGAGGCTGGCCTTCTGGGCAGTGTCTGGCCCGCAGGCGCCCCCATGTGGCCAGGCTCTGGCCAGATAGCTGGAGGAGCCAGTGGGTGGAGGCAGGCGACAGAAGGAGGTTCCGGGATGGGGCGGGGGGGGGGGGGGGGGGGGGGGGGGGGGGGGGGGGGGGGGGGGGGGGGGGCGCGCGTGTCTGGGGGAGGAGGTCAGGTCTGTTTGGGATGTTTTCACACCAAGGAAGCTTTCCGGGCCTGTCTGGGCCTGAGGAGCAGACACGGAGACCGGGTGTGCCACCCTGGCAGGGCGGGTACCAGGAAGGGAAGGGAAGGGCATGCGCGTTGGCTCCCGAGGCTGGGGGCAGCAAGGGCCCCAGGCGGCAGATCCCAGGGAGCACTTCTGGGGCCTGCAGGGCCTTCCCCACAGCTGGGGTCACAGGCAGGCCCGACCAGCCCAGCGGGGACACGCGGCCGCAGTGGGCTCAGGAAGCTGTGGGCAGTGGGGCGGGAAGATCGGGAAGGCCCATCTCCACAACGTCCTCTCTGCCCCCACAGCTGGGAGTTCACTGCAGAGAGTGGTGGAGAAAGCACCCCCTCCGGCTCCACTGGCCAGAGGGTCAGCCTGGCAGGTCCCCCTGCCGCACCCCACGGCCACCCTGCTCCAGTCCCAGCCCTGCCCGGCTAGGGTCGGGGCGGCACCGAGGCCCGGCTGTGGCTGGCCGGGGTGGGGCAGGGCCCAGGCTCAGAGGCATGGGGGTGGCAGGAGGGCCGGTGAGGGGCATCTGAAGCCCCCACTCCTCCCGGGAAGGCCTGCTGGTATGGATGTGAGTGCCCCCCACCCACGATGGAAGCCTTCCCCCGGCCCCATGTAGGTGAGGACACCAGCCCAGCCATTAAACAATACAGTTTATTTCAGACTCAGCCTCCACTCAGGCCTAGGGTTCCTGTGGTTGGCTGGCCAGGCAAGGACACGTCGGGCTCCCACAGGGCCCAGGGCCACCCTCTGGAGCCTGCCCGCTGCCCCCCGTGCCACAGGCCAAGCTGGGACCAGGTGTGCTAGGGAGGGGCTGCACAGCAGTGTCCCTGCAGGCGTGGAGGGGCAATGGACGTGGGCGCTGGTCACTCACCAAGCAGCTCTATTCTACCTGTGTTATTGCATGTATACGCTTGTTAGAATCGAAGGGTGCTGGGTGGGGCGGGAGGAGCCACGGATGACGGCTGGGCAGACCCTCCATGCACCCCCGCCCCAGCCTCCCCGCTGCCTCTCAGCTGCCCCCAGGACAAGGCAGAGGCTCAGGGCAGGAAGTGAGGTGGCCCCAGCCTCAGGGGCCCGCCTGGGGCACAGCTGGGTGAAGTATGGGACCCCTCCCCTCCCCAGACTGGCCTTTGGGCTGTCGTCCACCCAGCGAGGGTGCAGGTGATGGGCAGCGGTGGCATAGAAGGTCTGCTGCCGTGACCGCTTGACTCAGGTCAGCCCCCTGGCACCGGCCCTGCCCAGATGCACCCCCAACCCTGCCCAGCTACAAACAAAGAGCAGAAATGGGGAGAGTGAAACAGCCATACCCTTTAATGTCCCCTCCGGGGCTGGGCCCCTGCCAGAGCCCACCCCTGACCCCTCCCCAGCCCTGGGGACTCGGCTGCCAGGAAGCTCACAGGACCCCTGGTGCCTCTCCGGACAGGCTGGTGCACCTGCCCACCCCGCCCCTGTACCCTGGCCCCCGCCACGACCTCTGGAGCTGTCTTGTGTTCCTCCTCAGTAAACTCTGGAGCCTGGGCTCCCTCCGCCCCGGAGATTGGGAAGGGGAAGTGCTGGGGGGCCAGAAGGGGGCTTGGTTCCCTCTACTGGGGGCCCATCCAGCTCTCTCCCTCTGCATGTATGTGGGGGTATACGAGTATATATATCATGTATGTATGTATGTATACATAGCTGTGTGAGAACTCGGCATGCACTACATTCCTGAGGTCTGTACAGGAAGTGGCTGGGCCCCCACCTGGGCACCAGCCATCATTTTTTCCGGGCCAGGAAGGCCACACCAAGAATTAGGGCTGCGGCTGCCATGGCCACACCCCCAGCCACCAGGAGCGGGGTCAAGTTCTCAAAGGGGCAAGGGCCTCGGCCCCCTGGGCCTCCACTGGGAGCTTCGTCCTCCTCAGCCCCGTCCCCAGGGCCCTTGGGCTCAGAGGTCGCCTCCGGGCTGCTCGGGGCTGCAGGGGCCGGCTTCAGGTTGCTGTGGTTATTGAGAAGCGTAGGGTCTGCCTTGGCTGGGGTCTTCTTGGCAGCCGGCGGTGTGGGGGCTGCTGGAGGCTCCTGCTTCTCTGCCTGGGTGTCCTTCTTCCCAGGTTTGGCTGACGGGGCTTTCCCATCTGCAGCTGGCGGGGCTCTGGCCTCAGCAGCGGCCTGGGGGGCCTTGGTGTCGGGCTTGGGGCTGCTGGTCGACTTCCCCCTGGACTCCATGGTGGCTGATGCTTCGTGGAGTGTGCGTGCACAGGCAGGTAGCTGGCCCACAGCGGCTCAGGACAGCTCACTCCTGGGCATTATCTAGGCCTGGAAAGAGTCACAGTGAGGCTGTGGCCAGAGACTCAGCCCTCCCGTTCAGCCCCTACGGCCCTGTCCCCATAGAGACCCCGTCCCATTCTCTGGACCAACCCCCAGGAACCCTGGCTCCGGGTGCCCCATCTCCAGGGCTTCCTCTCCATCTGCCCCCATCCACTCTCCGAGAAGACCGTCCAACCACACAGCCGGGGCCTGTGGGCCCCGAACAGCCTGGGGGTGCCAGATGACTCCAGCCAGAGACCTGTTTCCTCACCTGCAAAATGGTCCTGCCCAAGCACGTGCTGTTTCCACCTGACCCCGGGGCAGGGAGGCCCTGATGGGGAAGTGAGACCCCACCCGGCCCTGAGGAGGGTATGTGGCCAAAGTAGGGCACGGCAGCTGGGGCGTGCCTGGGGCAGAACCAACCGCATACCTTCTCAGGAGGACCGGGTCCAGGGAGAGGGGGGGCAGGGCAGGAATCAAGAGCCTGGGCTCTCTGGTGCCAGCAGGGTGGGAGTGGGCTCAAGGCTGCCAGAACGGGGATGCGACACACCTGAGGTGTCTTCCCAGGAGGCTGGAGAAGCCAGCCAGACAGGCAGTGACAGGCCTGTGCCCCCTGGCAAGCCATCTGCCCCTCCCCAGCTCCTGGTACCCACCCCAAGGCTAGCTTTCCCTGCTCTAGTTCAAGGGCAGGGAGTCCTTCCCGACTCTGAGGCTGTGTCTGCCTGTGGGGCAAGGGGGGCAGTTTCCTGGTGTGAGACTGGAGTGGACACAGACCACGTCAGTCAGCCTCAGCACCCTCAAATCTGGGCCAGGGCAGAGGATGGGGACTCCGGGCTGTAGGAAAGGCCTGGCCCAGATCCTCAGTGTTTGAAGTGAGGGTACTGGGAATACTGGGCTGGGCCTGAGTCATCTCTCTCCAAAGACCTAGACACCCAGCCATCTGCCTCTCCTCCAAGAGGACTAGAACCTCCCCAACCCCCACACCCCCATTCGGGGAGAGGGAGCCCATGTGGGAAGCAGCAGCCCAGGTTTCCCACCCAGGCCGGCACACTAGCCACACCCGAAGGTCACCTGTAGGTCATAGCGTGATGGGGGTGCCCTGACAGCAGCCCACCCCTGCCCCACTTCCCAGGGAGCCCGGGGCTGTTCCGGATGGGCATCCAGCTGCTAAGCGCAAGGACAGGTGGTCTGCCTCCCCCCCACACCCCATTATTTTTGACTCACACTGTCGTCACCCAGCTGCCCCCTCCCCCTCCCAGGAGCTGCTGGGCTGGAGAGAGCCAGGGGCCCAGCATACACCCCCAGTGACCTTCAAGGCGGGAGCCAGCGATTCTCCCCGCGGTGTCCCCACGGTCACACCACTGACCCCAGGCCCCCGAGTCCCCAGTGCCTTACGCTGCTGTTCCTGGCGCTCCCACCTCGGCGCTGCGCGCTCGCCGCGGGACCAGGGCCGGTGGCGGGCGGCGGCTGCGGCTGCGGCTGCGGCTGCGGCTGCGGGGACTGGGAGTTTCCCACAATGCACTGCTCTCAGCGCAGCGAGCTGAGGGGGCGGGGGCTGCTTCGCCGCTGGCTCCGCCCGCCCGCAGCCACCCAGGATCCCCGGGGAACTGAGACCCCCCCCTCAAACCCCAGCTCCACCTTTGATCCCTAAGGTGGCTTGCAGTCAGGAAAGCACGGGGCCGAGGATGCCCTTCCTGCACCCCCAACCCAGCCAGAGCGAGAGCGAGGCGGTTAGCCCAGGCCCTCCGCCCAGGCCGTGTGCCGGTCAGCAGGTGGGCACAGAGGTAGGTCTGCAGGAGGGAAGCCAGTTCCAAAGAGAAGACTGCCCTCCCCTACTTGGTTCTAACAGATCTCAGAGAAGAGGGAATCTACTTAGAATATTTATTTATCTTCTTACAGGACAAGACACAAAAAGTTAACAACTTCTTAAAACTCTTCAAAAGAAAAAATATAATTCTGTAAGCAGCAGCAGCAGCTCCCAAGGTACAGACACGATGGGAGAGGACGGCTCCCGGGAACAACCGTGAACTGGGGGGGGCCAGGCCTGAGCCCCAGGTAGTGTCACCGGCAAGGGGCCTCTGAGGAGGGAGCCCAGGTGGGGGTACACAGCACCAGCACGTCAGGATCAACCACCAACACAATCACGTAGCCTGGGGTGGGGCAGGGAGGCTTCAATTCACAACATCTATGAAGTAGGGCGGTCCGGGAGAGCAGAACTCACGGAGCGTGGTCAGGGGCCTTACGCAGAGGCCCAGAGAGTAGGGTGGGCCCTGCGAGGGCAGAGGGGGCAGGTACTGCCCCTGGAAATAAAGCAGGCACCCCCAGGCTCCTACGGGTCCTCACGCCTGCCCCCCCCCCCACTGGCCAATCCCAGACCCAGGGTGGGGGGTCTCAGAAGAGGGGTCTGGTGAGATGCAGCAAGGACCAGGCTGGGGACAACAAACGCCTGGATGGGGTCAGAGGGGGGCCTAGGGCTCAGCACACGACGCCCGGCCCCAGGGGGAGGCCAGCGGCCCCGCCACAGTCCCGTCTCTCAGAGGCTGGGCTGGTTGAGGGCTGGTGGACAAAACCTCCCCAGAACATTCGCACATGCACACGGACCTCACGCGCCACGGGCCCTCAGCCCGGGATGGGGGTAGAGAGGCCCGGCCGGGAGGGATGCTGGGTCCCACAGTAGAGTAGGGGGCTTGCCCTGGGAGTCAGAACTCAGCGACCCCCATCTGGGACTCCTGGCTCAATACGGGGGGCAGGAGACCCCATCCTCCTGCAAGGCTGGCTGGGGGGCAAAGTGGGGTCCGGGCTGAGGCGAGAAGGAGAGCAGCAACGGGAGGCTGGACGGATGGACACGGGGTGGACAGAGCACTTGTGCTCAGCAAGTTAATAAATAGGTTTGTGCGGGGTCCCCTTTGTAGACTAGGGGCCAAGCCTCGGGGACGAGAGCTGGTAGACTGGAGGGTAGGGTCCCGCTTGCCCAGCCCAGGCCTGGGGACCCCAGCCCAGAGACCAGCTCTGTCCCTGGGGGCATTCAGGCCGGGGCGGAGCCGTGGCAGGGGCTGGCTCCAGGAATGTAAAGATTTCTGCATTTTCTACATAAATAAGACGTTGATCCCAGTGGTCGTGCAGGCAGGACCCCTCGGGGGGCCCTGTGCGCACCACCCATGTGGACCCTGCGCCCCTCCTCTGCTCCCCCACACCCCCGTCCACTCGCGGAGGGGCAGACAGTCCTGGCCAGGCCACCCGGCTCCGGCCCCACTCTGGTCCCAGGCGGCTGGAGGGCATGGGTGGTCCCTCGGCTCAGTGCTGGGGCCGCTGCAGCAGCCCCAGCAAGGTCTCGGCGATGCCCAGGAAGTAGACCACTTGGGCGATGCCGAACAGCGGGGCGATGACCAGGGCACGGCAGTAGGCGCCCTTCAGGAAGGCCGAGGGGCCCTCGTGCCTCAGGATCTTCCTGTGGGGACAGGGCGGTCAAGGCTGTGCCCCCCCGCCCCCCCCGGGGCCTCCCCCCCGCCCCGCCCCGCCCCCACGGGGCCTTCCCACCTGGCACAGTCCAGGAACCCCGTGTAGGTGTCCTCGTTGACGCCGCGCTGCAGCGACTGGAGTCTGGTCTTCACCACTGCGGGGGAGGGAGGGGCGCTGCAGGTCAGCATGCGGCCCTGCCTCCTCCCACCGCACCCCTGGGCCTCCCTCCCCAGCTGTGGCCCCAGGAACTGACCGTCACAGGGGTTGACAGCCACGGCAGCCGCGCTCCCAGCCACACAGCCAGCCAGAAAGGACACGTAGAAAGGAGACTTCTCCGCGGATGCTGGACGGCCCAGCTGGTTCAGGTTGGCAAAGAGGGGGAAGTAGACGATGGAGAAGGGGACGTCCCTGTGGGGGGAGCGGGGGACGCTGGTGACTGGCCGGTGTGCGGTGGCCAGGCCTTCCTCCTTCCTCCCCTGGCCCTCACCGTCCCCCCCACCTGAGCAGTGTGGCCCCCAGTCCCTTGTAGAGGCCAGCGATGCCCCGGCTCCGAAGCAGGTCCCGGGTCAGCTGGGTGGCCGTGGGCCGGGGGGTGGCCGTGGCCTCCACAGAGGGCTGGGCACCCCCTTGGGCCGACAGCTGGGCCTGGGCAGCCAATATCTTCTTCTGGGCGGCTGCGGAGAGAAGGGATGGGCCTGCTTGCAAGGCGGGGGCTGGGGGCAGGTCCCCAGCTGTGTCCCTGCCCTGCCCCCTCACCGATGCGGCCTGCGTCCTGAAGCTGGATCTTCAGCATCTCCATGGGGGTGGTCACGATCACCTGGCAGGTGCCGGCTCCACAGCCCGCCAGCATCTCCTTGAACAGGGTCAGCTTCTGCCTGTGGGGAAGGGGTAGGGATCAAGGTGCCGAAGCGGAAGCCCCTGCCGCCCCAGGGGTGAAGTGGACGGGCAGCGGGAAAGGCGGATGCAGCCCAGTGGGGGTATGGCGCCCACCAGCCCTGGGCACCGAGCCCAACAGACAGATGGCCCCGCAGGCAGGGCCTGGGAAGGCGGGAGGACCATCCGCAAGCACTCGGCCCTGGAGAGCTGGGGGGTCTCATGTGGCCAGTGGGCCACCCGTTCAGTCCCGCCCTCAGGTGACAGGGGAAAGCTGGTCAGCGCCTCCCAAATCCCACCCGCAAGGGGCAGTTCACAGTGGCTGGGGGTCAGGACCACTGGGGCCTGAGCACCACTGACTCGGCGTCCATTTCCCTCCCAGTGCAGGAGGCAGGGAGGCCAAGGAGTCAAGGTGAGGGGCACAGGAGGGCAGAGCTCTTGCCCTTTGTCTAGAGAGACACACGCGCGCGCACTCACACACACACGACCTTGGCCCCCAGCCCCTCACCCATCCTTGGAGAGCTGATATCGAAAGAAGTCGTTGGCAGCCAGCTTGATGGCCTTCTCGGGGGTGACGAGGGTCAGGTTCACGGCGGCTCCTGTGGGGTTGGAGAGGCTCTCAGCCAGCACCAGCCTCCCAGCTGGCAGAGCCCTGCCCCCGTCACGCCTTGGCCCGCTCCTCCTGCCCTCTCACCCACATTGGTGCCAGGTGGGGCAGGACCGGGCGGGGACAGGGAGCTCACGCTGTGGGGGCGCTAGGTGAGAGCACACAGTGCACGCGCCGGTGCCAGGCCTGCCCGGGCGGCAGCGGCAAGCCCCTCGCACCGCTCACACCGCGTCCGGGCAAATCCAGGCCTGGGGATTGTCTCCTAATCAGCTTTGCAGTAGCGCCCTCGCCCCGTCCAGCCTGCCAGCACAGATGGAGCCCCACCTGCCCCGGAAGGCGAGGGAGAAGACGGAGAAGGCAGTGGCCATGCTGGCAGGCGGTGGGGGGTGGGGGGTGCCGCACGGAACTGCCCTCCCCAGAGGTCCCGCCCTGTGTCCCTGGCCCAGCACCCAGGCCTCCACACGGGTCCCGTCCACACCCACACACCTGGCCCAAGCACGCCACCCCGCCTGGCTTGGCCACCCGCCTCCCGGCCGCCACAGCAGGGCCCCTCTACCCACGGCTGCCCCATCCCCAGCCTCACCGCGGTACATGCCAAAGTAGCCCTCCGAGCGGATGGTCTTGAGGAGGCAGTCAGACCTGCAGCCAAGGTGGGGGGAGGGGGGGTGAGCTGGGGGCCAGTGAGGGCGTTCCCCAGGCCTGCCTGGTCCTCAGTCTCCCCGTTTGTGGACCAGGGCGAGGAATGCGGGGCCAGGGCTTAGGGGTCTGAGCCCCCCCCACCCCGGCACACTCACATGCTGCTGTACATGCGCTGGCCATTCTGCTGGTTCTGCAGCCTGGTCTTGGCCAGGTCGATGGGGAACACGCAGGTGACCCCGATCAGCCCAGCGATGCCACCATTGATGAGCTTGGCTGGCAGACTGAAGGGCAGAGGGAGGGTCAGGAGGGGCCATAGGCCAGGCACACGGGGCAGGGTGGAGCCAAGGGCAGGGTTGCATTCTGACCTGATCGGCTTATCAGCCATTTAACTGAGCACACCCTGGAAGGAGCCGGAGACGTGGACGTGGGAGACGGGCGGACGAGGTAGAGGCGGTGGAGGGCGGGCAGGGCAGGGGGGAGGGGCGGTCCTCCACTTTCTGGGGAATTTCAAAACCACCACTTCTCTTCTAGAAGAGGGTGAGGAATCAGCAGAGGGAGGAACAGATCATGCAGAGGCACATCAGGGAAATAAGCAACCCCCCCCAGTCTCCTCCCCAGGTCTTGTGTGGGGACACGAAGCCCCTCACCCACCCACCTGTGGCCCCATCTCTGGGGCCATCAGGTTCCCCTGCAGCCACCCCCCTGCCTCTGCATCCTCCCAGCTGGCCTCAAGCTCACACACACTCACGTGCACAGTGAGCACACACGTGAGCGACTCTGCCTTTAAAGGGCCAGGCGCCTCTCCATTCCCAGCCAGGCATCTCAGCCCTGGGCTGAGCGTGCCCCCCTCATCCTCGAGCAGTGGCGGCTGGTGCCTGCCCTCTTCGGGATGCGGGCTGGCGCCGAGGAGCCCCTCCCCCCAGCCTGAGCCCAGCTCGCAGCTACCCCGGTAGATGACGGCACCTCAGCCACGGGAGCGGCTGCTGTTCCAGGACAGACCCCGGACAGTCGCTCCCCGTGGAAAAGCCCCAAGCTCACCCACACCAGCGCTGCACCTACCCTCCTGAGCACCCTTCCCAGGAATCTGTCTCCCAGACAGATGGACACACACACACACACACAGACCAGGGCCTCCGGAAGCTTCAGGGGTGTTTGGGGCCCAGGCTAGGGGGCAGCTGGGAGGGGACAGCTGGCTCTCTTGAGGCTCGCGGTGGTTGGTTCCCCAATCCACTCTAGGGCTTGGAGGAGACGGGGCCCCGCTCACCGGGGGCAGGGCTGGGAAGCCAGAGCCGAGCTCAGGAGCCTCCTGTCAGGGGGCCCCTCAGATTCCTGGGGCCCCCACCCGCAGCACTGCCGCCCAGGGTCACAAGGCTGGCTCACACCCGCGGTCCCTCTGGGGACTGGTGACCTTCACCTCAGCTCTCCCAGGCCAGCTGTCCCCCTGCCCTCCGGCCCCATCACCTCCGAAGCCCCCAGTCTGGCTCACCCTGAGGACAGGACCGGGCTCCTCCAGGACTCCAGCCCGCGGGGCTCAAGGAGGAGATCCAGTGGCTGAGGGAGGTGCCAGAGGCAGGGATTGGCCGCTGGGCGGGGCGGGGCTGGCCTTGGGGGGGTGACTTTCTCTTTCACTTTGGGCGCGCCTAGGCTCCCCGCAGCCCTGGGAGAAGGGATGGGAAGGGGCGTGGCGGCTTCTGAGAGGCAGGGCCCAGACTCAGATTTGATCGGCCCAAGGGGGGTGGGCCTGACTCAGGCTGACCCGGTGAAGCCAAGCCAGCTGCCCACAGACACCCCAGGCCACGGCGGCCACGGCCCCAGCTGCCCAGTGGCTTCCCGTCTGCAGCCCGAAGGCTGGATCTGTCTAGGACTCTGTGCGCTCTCTGTGCCCAGGCACCCCTGCGCCTTGGCGAGGAGAATCTGGTCCGGGGCGGGGGAGGGGGAGGAGTCTGTGCCCACTCATTCGTGAGACCTGTGTGTCTTCAGGGTGAAGACACGTTTCATGGAACCCTCACCCTAGGGCACAGAGAGACGAACCTGTCACACCAGGGAAGGGGTGGCTGGGTCTCCAGAGGCCACTGGCTGCTGCCCACAGGCCTGCTCACCTGGCAGGTCCAGGCGGCATGGGAACTGGCACTCCCAGAGACCTCTGCCCCGCCAAGCCCCCCTCCCCCTCCCCCTCAGTCCTCAGGACCTGCTTTCCCAGGTTCTATCCTGCAGATAAAGGTGTGACCTCTGAACTTCAACCCGACCTTTCCCCCACCCCACCCCATCCCCTCCGCATATAGACTGGCCACAACCAGCTCTCTGCTGCCCCAGGCTGTCCGGGGCAGGGTCCATATCCTCACTCTGGTCTCCTGGAGATGCACCCCTGCCCCCTGGGGTGAACTCAGTGAGCCCTGCCTCCTAGAGCATCACCAGACCCCACCTCTCATCCAGGGTAAGGGACACCTGGGTAGCGAGGTTCCCGAAGTCAGATGAGCCATCTAGGTGAGGAGGGGAGCAGTTAAGCCCAGAGATCCCAAGCCGGAGGAGAGAGTGGGTCCTGGGGCCCCACATCACAAGCCACAGGCTGCAGGATGGAGCGGGGAAGACGGTTGCTGGACAGCCGTGACAATGAAGGGGCTCTGCCTGGGGAGACTGGCCAGGGGCCCAGTGGCCCCAGGACACCCCTGTGTCCGTCCGCACTCTGTGGTTCCCACCCTTGCTTACCATACAGCTGTGAAGGCCTTCCCCCTGCCCCTCTTGTTGCCACAGAAACCCGGCCACCAAGCCAGGCCTGAGGCCCAGGGCTGTCCGCCCTCACTGTTCCCTTCTCCACGTGTGCGGCCACGTAAACTAAGGACCTGAGCAGGCTGGGGACCGCGCTGCCCGCAGGGACCACTCAAGGGATGACGCTCTCCTTCCAGCCCCTCCCAGGGAGAAAATCTCTCACCAGCGAAGCTGCGGAGCGCCCCCACCCCCACGAAAGGCGACAGGCGACGGAGCAAGTAAGGCTCAGGGTCTGGCACTGGCGGCAGGCTCCCCATTCAGGCTTCCCCGGTCCCTTCCCCACTGGAGGGGGCGCGTTCTATCCTGTCCGAGGGGCCCCAATCCGCAGACAAAGGAGGCTTGGGTTGGGGGCTGCGGACCCCGGCTGCGAGGCCGGCTCAGGCCTCCGGTCCCTTCCCCTGGAGGGGGTCCAGACCCGGCCCAGGCGGTCACGCTGCCCCCGCCAGGCGGTGGGCACTCCAGCCACGCACGTGTCCACACAAGCCCGGCGGGGGTCCCCGCGCGCGTCCCCCGCGCCCCGGCCTCCGCCGCTTCGGCTCGACTCCCGGCTTCCCACCCCGCGGGGACACGTGTGCGCGGGGAGCGCGCCCGGCCCCGCCGGGGTCGAGCACGGCCTCCCACGGCCTCCCACACCCGGGCGGCAGGCGGCCTCAGCATCCGCCGGCCCCGGACCCCCGCCCCCCCGGGGTCGCTTTCCGGGGCAGCCGTCACCTCGCCCGGCCGCCTCGGCGGCCCTCGGCGCCCGCAGCCGGGCCGCGCTCGGGTGGGCGCGCACCAGGGAGAGGCTGGCCGGGCACTCACCGCGCTCCGCCGCCGCCGCGCTCGCCTCGCCGCGCCGCGCGCCCGGCCGCTCCGAGGCGCGGAGGCGCGTCCGCTCGGCGCCGCGCGCTCCGCCCCCTGCCCGGGCCGCGGCGGGCGGGCTCCAGCTCCCCCTCCCGGCCGCCGCGGCCACTGCACCGGCCGCCCACAGCCCCCAGGCCCCGAAAGGCCCTTCCTTGGCCTCCAGGCCTGCGCCCCCGCAAGGGTCAGGGACCCAGGGACGAGTCCCGTCGGGCCAGCAGATGGCAAGGAATGGTGGGACGGGGTGTCCTAGGGCAGGACCGTCCCCGGCCTCACAGTAGGTACTGGGAGAGAATGGGGCGGGTCCGGCACCTGGTGGCCAGCAGGGCTGACCCGCAGCCCTGCACGCAGGTGACTTTGTATCCACCAGTGCTTCCCGTTACTTTGTAGCTGCAGCCCCTCTCCCTCCTGGGCATATGGGGGGGGGGGGGGCCGGTGGTGAGGTCTTCACACAGGGTCCCCTTGCAGCAGGGCCCCGGCCTCTGATCTCAGGCCACCCTCGCCTTCCACCCATTCCACCCGACAAATAAACTGAGCTCTGAGAAGCAGCCAGAACAGTACATTTGTGTCACACATGGTGGGGGAGGAGCGGGAGGAGGGGTCACTGCGTCCACGCACAGGGAAGGCTTGAAAACAGGAGCCTCCGGCCATTGGCCAGGGTGCACCGGGGCCAGCCCCGAGTCGGTGGGGTCTAGGCCTGGGCTGACTCTGGGGACTGTGATGCTGATGGGGTCAGCGAGGCCAGGCTTGTGCGCCTGATGTTGTCCTCATACTTCCGGCGGCCGAGCTCCAACACCGCCCTCACCTCTTCAGCTACATCCAGCCGGTCACTCTGCTCCAAGGCCTGCACGAGGCGCCCCACAGCCCCCGGCTGCCCAGCCTGGCGCTCAGCCCAGGAGAAGAGCATATGACGGATCTGGCCGTCCAGGTCGTCCCTGGTGGGGGGGTGGGAGTGGTGACGGAGAGGCCCAGCCACCACACCCAAGGTTCTGCTGTCCCTCTCAGGGCAGGTTCCCTGCACCCTAGGTGAGATGTGGCCAGACCCTCCCTCTCCTGCCTGTTGGCCCTGTCCCCACCCACCGCGGACACAGCTTCAGCCAGACTCACGTAAGGTCCTCCCGACTGCCAGGCCCCAGGCCTGAGGCTGGTCCAAAGCCAGCACTAGGAGGCCCAAAGGAACTCACCGGAACTCATGCCTGATGCGCTGCAGCTCGCGATAGGGCATGCCCAGGTGCAGGGCCACATCTGGCCAGTCGGGGCCCAGGCGCCCGGCCACGTTCAGCAGGTTGCTCTGGGTCAGGAAGCCCGTCTCCACATCACCCAGGTTCAAAGGTGCCAGGGAGAGGCTAGTCCCCCGCCCCTGCCCTGGCGCCTTGGATCCCCGCAGTCTCTGTGGGGAGGAAGGGGTGCAGTGAGCCCTGCCCTCTGCCCCCCCTCCCCCAGCCTCGCCCCTCCGGGCCTCTGTGCCACCCCTGTCCCCTTCACACGCACTGCCCCCCACCCCAGGCCACACCGGCAGCTTGATGGGCAGCGTGGCCATCCACGGGCTGTCTGTGCCCTTCCGGTGCCGGGCAGCCTCTGCCTCCTCGGGCACCTCCTCGGGCACTGCTCCCCGGTAGAAGGACACCTGGGGTTGGGATGAGGTGGGGCTCAGTGTTCTGGCCGCTGCCTGGGCAGCCGGGGGCACCCTACCCAGTTGACCCACCTGGCCCCTCACAGCCTGAGCTTGTCGGTCCAGGGTGGTGGTCACATATACCTCCTTCATGTTCTTCAGGTGTGAGTAAAAGACAAAGCATACCCTGCCCTGCACACAGTCTGGGCGGTCTGGGGGGTGGGGTGGGCTCAGCGGGGAGCCTGGGGAATAGACCCCAGCATCCCCGCCCAGCCCCCGAGGGATAGGGGGGCGTACCAGCATCCACGTCAATACCCTTCTCGAAGGCAGCGAAGAATTTTTCGCCCTCAAACATCTCCACCGTGTCAGAGGGCTCGGGGCCTCGGTACCGCTCCAGCAGCCGCCGCAGGGTGGCATCCACCTGCGGGGGGAGCGCTGGCTGGGAGCTCAAGGCCCCGCACCCCCCACAGCCGGAGCCCCCCCTTGGCCTTGCAGATGCGCACCTTGCTGAGGGGCAGACACTGCAGCAGCACCTGCTGGGGGTCACGGCGTCGCTGCAGCGCGATGAGACTCACGCGGTGCAGCCGCAGCCGCTCCCAGGCCTTCCGGGCCAGGCCCTCCACGCACGTCTTGGTGGTGTACCAGAGCCAGTACCTGCCAGGGCGTCGGGGTGAGTGCGGCTGCGGGACAGGCGTGCGGGGGGGGGGGGGGCGACGGAGGGGGCCGGGCGGGTGGGGCGCTGACCAGGAGAAGTGTGTGGCCTGGAAGCGGGCATACACGTGGGTGAGCTCCAGGGCCACCTGAGCGGTGATGTCATCCCACGTAGCTTCAGGAGGGGTCCGGTACAGCAGGTGAAGGCAAGAGCGATCCAGACTCAGGCCTAGGGACGAAAGGGGGCCGCAGGCTGACGTCAGCCTCGGAGGGGCTCCCCATCTGAGCACTGGCCCCCTCAACCCGGTGGCCAGGAATTCAGGTGGGCCAGATGCCACCTTTTACCTGTGACGCCAGGGGGCAGAGGCAGCTGCACTGTGACGGGCTGGAGGAAGCTTGGGGGGCCGTTCTGGGAGAGGCAAAGCAGGGGGCTGGCCGCCGCCCCAGCCTCCTCCAGCAGGGCCCGAAGCTCCCTGCCGGCCACTCGCACCACCTGGGGGCAAAAAGGCCACCTGAGCACTCACTTCGCCTTGAGGCGCACCCACCACCCGCCATGGCCCTGCCTGTACCTGCATGTAGACCCGACGGGGCTCCTCGGTGGCCCCAGGCGGGAATGTGACCTTGACCCCAGGATTTCCTGAGGAGTACAGCAACGTGCCCTCCGGTGGCACCAGGCAGGCATTGGACACAGGACGTGAAACCACGAGGAACCACGAGAAGTGGGGCACCTGGCAGTGGGCCCAGAGCCGCTGGACACGGGGGGCGGGAGTCAGAGGGAACACGGTCAAAAGGGGGACAGTCTGGGCAGAGCCACCGGGCAGGGGGAGACAGGAGTCTAGGTGGAGCCGCCGGGCGGGGGTGGGGTGGGGGGGGGGAGTGGGGTGGTGGGGTCTGGGCAGGGCCACTCTCTAGTGCTCCCAGGAGCACCTTCGCAGGAGGGACCACCGTGGCTCTCACCTTGGGTCCCTCTTCTTCCAGTTGAGTCTCCAGGTCCCTCCAGCCGTCGTCATTCAGGGTCCTGACCACCACCTCACGGCAACGCCGGGCCCGTGGGGGCACAAAGAGCAGCCACAGGCCCACCTCCTGCCAGGCAAGGGTGGCATGAGCGCTGGGGCCAAACCTGGGCCCTCATCACCTGCCACCCCCCGCCCCGACTTGTTCTGGGCGTGCCTGGTGGAAGGCCACCCCATGGGGTTGCAGCTCCAGGACACGGCTGAGCAGAGTGTCATGGGGACCCAAGGGGACGAGGCGCGGCTCCGGCAGCCACAGTCGGTAGTGGATGCTGACAGGTGTGGCAGTGGCCCCAGCAGGGAACTGTAGGCGGACACCACAGGCCAGGGTCACCGAGCAGCCTTGGGGGGTCACAAGGAAGCTGCAAGACAGGGTGGACATCTCATCAGACACAGAAGGTGCACACGTGTACATCTGAGTCGGGCACCTCTGGGAAACCCTAGAAGACCCCTGAGGCAGGACCAAGGTGTCCTTCGGGGACAGAGTGACAAGGCCAGGACGTGCTTCTCCGGCCCCATCTCTCCTCCCCAACACACCTGTCCAAGTCTGCGTTCAGGACTAGTCTGGGCATTTCCGGGATCACAGGTGTCCCTGCGGAGGGACAGGAGCTGTCAGAACAACCGTGGCACCCTCCCCCTCGCCCGTCTGTGGCCTGACCTTCCCCAGCAACATGCCTACCTGGGGGGCCGGGGAGGGCAGGCGGGGCCTCGCCCAGGGGGTTCCCCCGAAGGCGCACAAAGGGGGCGCCCAGCAGCTCGGGGGGCACGTCCCGGAGCCGGTTGTCCCTCAGATCCAGCCGGGTGAGCAGCGGCAGGCGGGCCAGGCCAGTGGGCACCGACGTCAGGAGGTTGCTGTGCAAAACAAGCAGCCGCAAGGACCGCAGACCCCCTGCGGGCAGGCGCCGGCTCAGGGCCCGCGGAGGGCCAGCCGGGGCCGCCCCAGCCCTGGCCGCAGCAGCCCGCGCGCACGAGGGCCAGCCGGTCTCTGCCGGCCCTGGCCGGACTCGGGGGGCTGGGGAAGTCTGTGCAGGGGGCCTCGACAGCGGGGAAGGGAAGGCAAACGAGGGCCACCCAGGGGGAGTGGAGGCTCTGAGATGGGCCACGCCTGAGTGTGCGGGGGCCCCTGTGGACAAAGGGGGGCCCACGTGAGAGTGGAGGCCAGGCACTCCCCATCAGGCCCAGGGAGCCAAAAGGGCCCCCGGCTCTACTCACCAAGGGAGGTCGGGAGGCTCTGCAGCCGGTTGGAGGCCAGATTGAGCTCTGTGAGGCTGCTCAGGTCTCCAATCTCAGGGGGCAGAGCGTCCAGAAGGTTCTTTGAGAGATCGAGGCGCTGCAGGGTGGACAGGGATCCCAGCGCCTTGGGCAGCGTTCGCAGGCAGTTGTGGGTCACAGAGAGGAAGGTGAGGGCGGGAAGGGCTCCCAGGGCATCAGGGAGCTCTGACAGACGGTTGTAGGACAGGAGGAGGGCACTCAGGCCACGCATCTGTGGGACGCAGCCCGGCAGCGTCTCCAGCCTGTTGAAGCTCAGGTCCAGGTGGGCCAAGCGGGTCAGGCCACTCAGACCAGCGGGCAGTGTGGTCAGGGAGCCCCGGACGCAGGCACCCAGCACATCCCGGTGCTGCCCACCTGGAAGGGGGAAGGCAGATGTGGCCCTCAGAGCTGGAGTCAGGTCCCAGCTCAGCTCAGAGGCACAGACTTCCCCCACCCCCACCCACACAGGGACAGACCAAGATGCCGGCAGACGGATACCGCAGGCTCATCTCGGCTAATAGCCATCACCCACGACCTGCCCCGGGAAAGACAGCCACGCTGGGGTCGGCTGGGAGCCGCGGGCGTCCAGGAGCCCAGGCTCAGCCAGCCTCCCTTGTGGGGGGCGGGGTTGGGACAGGGCCCGGGAGCAGGAGGGCTCACCTCTGAGGACCAGGGAGCGCAGGTGCCGCAGGCTGCACACCACCTGGGCCAGGGTGGTCTCTAGCAGCCGAGGGTCTTCGTGGCCACTCAGCCGCAAGAACTGCACTTCCAGCAGCTGAGCGGACGGCCGGGCACACAGGTGTAGTAGCCGGTGGCAGCCCCCAGGGTACAAGTCCAGGTTCAGCCGGCTCCCAGTCAGGAGGGGGGGGGCCCTGGGTGCTGCATCCGCAGCATCTACAGCATCTCGTGCAGCATCTTCTGTAGCAGCCGCCTCGGGCTCCAGCCCCTCCGCCACCACGGCCATCGCCCACCGGCTGTCCTCGGGGGCCAGACATGTCCCAGCCTGCCAAGCAGGCCTGTTCAGGCAGGGCCTCGGGAGCCTGCAGAGTCAGGGGGAGGAGGGGGAGGAGCGGGAGGGAGTGGGGCTGGGCCCTCCTCCTGCTCAGGGGAATGGGGACTCCTTGAGCCAGGCCAGCTGGCCCACAGAAGCCCAGGGCCTAGGCTGCACAAATCTTTGCTGGAATAGGGCTGGGGAATGTGTACCCCAGAACCAGGAGGGCAGCAGGCAGGGAGAACTGTGTGCAGAGGAGCCTGGGGGACCTGCTGGGGGCGGGGATGGGGGAGAGGAGGGAGAAGTGGGGCTTCACATCCCGAGAGACTCCCAGAGCTGTCAGCTCATCCTGCCTGCCCCCCACCCCCTTAAGAGTTCTGGGTCTAAGGGCGCCTGGGGGCTCAGTCGGTTAAGCGACCGACTTCAGCTCAGGTCGTGATCTCGCGGTTCGTGGGTTCGAGCCCCGCGTCGGGCTCTGTGCTGCCAGCTCAGAGCCTGGAGCCTGTTTCAGTCTGTGACTCCCTCTCTCTCTCACCCTCCCCTGCTCACGCTGTCTCTCTCTCTCTTTCAGAAACAAAAAACATTTAAAAAAATTAAAAAAAAAAAGAGTTCCGGGTCCAGCCCCACCTCCAACCTTCACACCCACCAGCTTTGACCAGAGGTCGAGGACTCTTATCTACCACGTGGGGGCAGCGGCCCAGGCAAGGAACGCCGTGATTGTGCCCGCATGTGTCAGATACGTGCGTGTGCGGGGGAGGGAGACGGGACCCCATTCCGTGACCGCTGGAGGAGGGTTCTCCCGCGCTTCCCGTTCCCATCTCGGTCGACTGGTGAGGGCAGTGGTCTGTACACTCGGAGCTCGGAGCCCCCGGAGGCCGGTCCTGGTGGGAGAACCCCGGGCCCCCACCGTCCCCACCGTCCGCGAGCGTCCTGCGCGTACCTGCCTTCCAGGCTGTGCGCGTCCCCCGTGCGCGTCCCCGCCCGGTCAGGACGCCCCCAGGCTGGGGTGGGGGGGCGCTGGCAGTGGCCTCGGCGTCCCGCGCCGCCCCGCCTGCAGCCCCGAGACGCGGCCGCGGCCCCCAACCGCCAGCCGCCAGCCCCGCGGCACTCGACTTCCCGTCAGCCCGTCCCAGTCCAGCCTCCCCCGCCGCGAAGGCCCGCTCAGCGCGCTGGGAAACCCGCCCTTTCAGAGGCTCCCGGCCGCCGGGCCCGCCCTGCGGGGAGCTGTGCATTCTGGCCCCGTCTCGGCGAGCAGCGAGCTGGGGCAATCTCAGGACGGAGCAAGGCTTTGGGGGCTTATCGGCTGCTGCCAGAAGCCGGAGCTCTAAATGTGCCCCTTCTGAGGCAGCCTCAGGGGCCTCCTCCTCCCGGAAGCCTTCGTGGGCCTCCTCTAGAGAGCTGATCCCGGCTCCTGGGGTGCTGTTAACTGGCAACCACTCGGCAAGCTTTCCCACACGTTGCCTTTCAATCTTTGCACCTCCCGGGGAAGGAAAAGGAGGCTCGGACAGATTATATTTTGCCCAAGGACGCATAGCGGGCACGTGCCAAAGCCAAGAACTTCCAGCTAGGTCTGGTCTCAGAGCCTGGCATCCCTGTGTTCATTCGCCGGCTCTGCGGCAGCTCAGTTCACGGGCACCCTGCTTCCGCCCGCTCCCCAGCTCTCACCGTCCCCCCCAAGATGGGCCGTGGCCAGAACCCCGCTTTCCCGGCTCCTGTCCCCCACTCAGCTTCTACATAGCTGCCAGAAGTCTGAACTCAATCGCAGGAATATTATTCACCTTTAAAAGGGAAGAAAATTGAGATACACACACTACAATACGGATGCACTTTGAGAACATTGTTAAATGAAATGTCAGATCTAAAAGGGCAAATATCACGTGCTTCCACTAATACAAGGTCCCCAGGGTGGTCAGAATTCAGAGACAAAAATGAAAATGGTGGGTGCCAGCGACTGGAGGAAGGGGGAGCAGAGAACTGCTGTTTAATCCAACTTGGGACGAAGGAAGACGGTCTGGACGGACGGCGGTGACGGTTGTGTAATGTAAGTGGACCCATATGCGACTGCCTTGGATGTTAACAATGGTAAACCTTTAAAAAATAAATGAGAATCCTTATTATTTTGCCTCTAAAAATAAAAACCACAGCCTCCCGCTTCTCTAGGTATTGCCAAAGTCCCCTCCTTGCCAGGAGGTTCCCCACTTCACCCCACTGTGGAACCCTGAGCAAGAAAGCCTTTCTGCGCCTCACACCCTCTGAGCGAGGTCGCCCGCAGGAGCCGTGCGGTTTCGGTGAACACACTCGGCGGGATGCACGACACCCGAGGGCCGGCTTCGCCGCGCCGGCCTCTGGACCCACCCCGGCCTCCGCGGGGCCTTCGCCCCAGTTCTCAGGGCCGCCTCGTCCCCCCAGGCTTATGTCAGCCTGGGCCGCCTCGCTTATTTGCCCTGTGTGTCTGCGCTTCTCTTCTGAACTCCTGTTCCGGAGAAGCAAGGGCGGGCCTGCTCCTCCTCGGCCCGCCGACCGGCAGCGGGTCCCGAACACCGTGTAGTGAGCCGGTGGCACATGGACACAGAGGTCAGTTCAGGGTCCACACGGCCCCGCAGGGAGGCCGCTCGGCTCCGCAGTGGGAGATCGGGCCGGGCTCGCCCACTTCACTGGCCTGGCCGCGCGGGAATGCAGGGGTCCCCACGGTCCTAGCGGCCCGGAACTACCCGCGAGCCAGTCGGCCGCGTGCGCCGGCACAGAAAGCGCGCCCGCACTTCCGGCAGCGGTGCACCATGGGACCTGGAGTCCTCCAACGCCGATGGCCACGCCCGCCGCACACAGATGTGTAGCGGCCGTGGCGGCCGCGCTGCGAGCTGCTCTCCCCGCCACCGGAGGGGGGCCGGCGGACACTCGCCCCCGCGTTGTGCAAGAAGGCGGCCCTGGAGTTGCCATTCGCCTTTGCTGCCGCGGTGCTGCACGGAACGAGGCCTCCCCGCCCCCGCCGCCTGGGCGCCGTGTGACGTCACTCGGAGGCGCCCTCTCAGCGCGGCACGCCGATCCCGGGGGCTTCTGGGTAGCGGATTACCCCCGCCCCCCGCGCCGGCCCCTTCCTTTCCGTCCCTGACGCCGCCGAGGTCGCACGCGTGAGGCTACTCGCCGCCGAGTGAGTGGGCGGCGGGGCCGCGGCGCTGGCTGGGTGGCGGCCGTGGGGGCCGTGGGGGCCATGAGGGTCCCGGGGAGGGGCGGGCGGGCGGGCGCCGGCCGGGTCTTGGAGGGGGTCGGGGCGGGCGGCTCCCAAGTCACGCCGTCCCCGTCTCCACCCGCTTCAGGATGCGCTACGTCGCCTCCTACCTGCTGGCCGCCCTCGGGGGCAATGCCTCCCCCAGTGCCAAGGACATCAAGAAGATTCTGGACAGCGTGGGCATCGAGGCGGACGACGACCGGCTCAACAAGGTAGCCGCCCCGAAGCCCCCGGCTGGCCCGACGCTGTGCATATGGGGGCCTCTGGCCTCGGCGGCGCGGGTTTCACCCTTAAGAAAGCAGTGTGCTCGGGGTGGGGGTGGGGCTTTGCTGCGACCCCAAGGAAGGAACAGTGGGTGGGCGTGAGGCGGATCTCCAGCCTGGTTGCAGGGACGCGAGGTTATAGCGCAGCCTAAGTCGTCTTAGTAACTACGTGTTAGAGAAGGAGAAAGGGCAGAGCGCATTTTAACGGTGTTATTTTTACCCGCCTCACTAACAACGTTCAGGCGGGAGGGGCTTATAAACTGAGATGCCATGCGACTCTTGCTCGGGAAACGCTGAAGTCTGCTGGTTCCCGCCTGCGGCACCGCTTAGAGAGCTCACGTGCGGGGCAGAAGCGTTGGGTTGGCCGGACAGGGATGGCCTCGAAGCCCTGGGGCGTTTCGTCATGTGCTCCTGAGGCCAGCCCTGCCCTGGCTCCAGGGGGTGAAGTTAAGGTGTGGGGCGCAGTAGTGACCCTCTGGTAACTGCTGGTTGTGGTTATTTTAGGTCATCAGTGAGCTGAACGGAAAAAATATCGAAGACGTCATTGCCCAGGGTGAGATTGCATGTGGGGGTTTTCATTCTCGTGGTCCATCCTAATCCCTGCTGGTCAGCCCGTGGCCTTCCAGGTTTCGCTTGTGGACCAGAGCACTCTAGAAGCCTCACCCAGAAAAGCGAGCAGGCTTCAGTGGGCTTGTGCCAGGGATGCTTCTAGACATTCTGAGTGGCAGGACAGCAGAGGGTGCTGGTGCTCCCACTGGGCCTGCCTGCCCGCCAGAGGGCTCTAAGCTGGGATGTTTCCTGTTTTAAGTATATTTTTTATAATGTTTGTTTATTTTGGTAAGAGAGAACACGTACTGGGGGAGGGGAGACAGGATCCCAAGCAGGCTCTGCGCTGTCAGCGATCTGGGACTCCGATCATGAACTGTGGCCAGCATGGCCTGAGCCAAAGCTGGACGCTTAACTGACTGAGCCACCCAGATGACCCCGGGAATTAGGGTTTTATAATCAAATCTCACCATGGGTTCTGGGGGTGGGTTTGGGAGCACAGACTGGGCGTGTGAGGGACCACAGGTCCCTGCCCCCCTTTGCCAGGCAGATGGGTTTCTGGTGGCATGAGGCCGCAGCTGTTGGGATTGTTAGGAAGGTGTGCTGCTGGGACCACTGTTCTCTCCCTGTGTGTCTTTCGTGGGGCACAGCCAGCTCAGCAAACAGCTGGGGGTGAGGATCTGGACCCGGGTGGTTGACTCCTTCGCGTCCTGGATGTAAATGCTTTTGTCCAGCTTCCTCTGGGGTGGGGTGCTGTTACCCAGTTTTTTATGGAGAGGGAGGGATTCCTAGAAGCCAAGTTTCCAGGTAGGAAATCGTAGGGGGCTGGGGTGTGTGTGTGTGGCAGAGGCAGAGCCACCTGTGTGGGAGGACAGAAGCTGGTGACACCGGCACTTGGTGATGGTGTCCCGTGTATCGGGCAGACTACCTCTTCACTCCCCCCGCAGCCTTCAGGCTGAGCGCCTGCTCTCCTCTCCTTCCCTGACGTCCCTAGGTATTGGCAAGCTGGCCAGCGTGCCCGCTGGTGGGGCTGTGGCTGTCTCTGCTGCCCCAGGGTCTGCGGCGCCTGCTGCTGGTTCCGCTCCAGCTGCAGGTAAGTGGAGGCCGGGGCCGGGTCTCCCCCGGGGGGCTGGCGTGCACCGTGGGCCCTGCTCACTGTCCCCTTCTTCCCCACAGCAGAGGAGAAGAAAGATGAGAAGAAGGAGGAATCGGAGGAGTCGGATGATGACATGGGATTTGGCTTGTTCGATTAGAGTTCTGTTCTTCTGCCAATAAAACCCTTTTTACGTACCTCTTGAGCGGCCCATGAGTACTTTGTAAGAGTGCGGCCTTGGCACAGTGCAGGTGTTGGGGGGATCCCATGGTGGGTGAGCAGGCCTTCATTTCAGAAGAAACCCACGCCCTTGCTGGGGAGGTGAAGAACCGAGGGTCTGGTGCCGAAATGGGTACCCGGGATGGGAGCATCTCTGTGGCTCTTGGGCGTGATGAGCCTTGAGTAGGCTCGGGAGGAGACGGGAGCCTTCGTAGGCCCAGTCCTGGTTCCCGAGGACTGCCGGGGCCTTTCCGGGGGGAAGCTTTTGGGGAACACACAGGAATCCTTCAAAAGCAGCAGTGGGGGGTCTGCAGTGCTCCGAGGAGGCTCCGGCTGGTGGAGGCCAGCAGTTGCCCCAAGGCTGGTCGTGGTTTTCAGTTACAAGAAAGCGGTGGGGCAGTAGTGCATGTGCACTGCGGAGTCCGGGCTCCTCTGGTTCACGTTCAAGTTCCACTTTTAATCTCAGCAACTCGGGGCAGTCCTATATCTCCTCTGAGGCTGGTTACCGCAGCTGTCTGGTGGTCTGTCCGGTTGAGGAAGGGGCTCGTAGGCAGCGGTGTCGGGCCACGTGCCCACTAAGTCCTTCGGGGGCCGGCCTGCCCGTGCGCGTGCAGCCACCATCCTGGCCCTGCGGCGGTTTGTAGTCTCCTGCTCCTTAGGTCCTCTGCCCACCAATGCCAGACCACCTGGTAGACCCTCTGCTTCTCCCTGTGATGGCTCTGGGTCAGCACCGCGCTGTAGTGTGTGCCCATCGTGTGCCAGGTTACAGCTCTGACCTACGCTCATGGGTTGTAGTTCTGCAGGGACCGGGTAAGGAAGGAGCACAAAAGGGACAGCTGGGGGTGGAGGGCCTCCCTCGGGGGACAGGACACTGTCCTGCAGGACAGGAGTGTGTGTGGGATGTGGGAGAGAAGGCCTGAAGCCCTCCTGGTTATCCAGAGCAGTGGGGACGAGGGTGGCTTTGGGGGACGACGTAGAGCCCACTCCTGTGGTCAGTGGGACATGGGCCTAGAGGAAGAGCGAGCATCACTGTACGGGTCCCAGCAGCAGGTGCTGCAGGGGGCAAGGACAGGGAGGGAAGGTGGTACGGAGGCCCAAGGTTCTCTGGAGGAGGGGGCCTCAAGTCCACGGCGACCTTAGAGCCCGAAGAGAAGGGTCCTGTGTAGGCGTGGAAGCAGGACACCTGTCTGCAGAATGACACATAGCAGGTTAGTATTTACGCACATGGTCTCAGGCCTCTGCTTTAATAAAGCCACTTTTTAGGGGCACCTGAGTGGCTCAGGTAGTTGAGCGCCCTCTTGATTTCAGTTCTGATCATGATCTCACAGCTCCTGGGATAGAGCCCCACATCTTGGGAGTCTCTCCCTGCCTCCTCCCACGCGTGCGCACAAGTGCCCTCTCTCTCAAAATATTTTTTTAAAATAATGATTACACAGCAAGCACTAGGGTTTTGTTCCCCCCCCCGCCAGGGTTCCGGGAAGTGCTGCTATGTTCTTGGCTCCAGAGCAGACAGTCCCAGGGGCCTGGGGAGAGGGGTGTGTATCCAAAACAGTTCAACCCCGATGTGGAAATGGGGGCAGAGTTCTCGCTGTACTGGGGCAGGGCCACCCTTCAAGGCCCCACAGTCCTTCAGAAGCAGGAAGGGCCTGGACCCTGGCTTGTCCTTGGAGCAGGTCAGGGACAACCTTGTCTCTGGCTCAGCTGCACCCCCAGCTCCCCTCTCCGTGGTCACCTGGATGAACCCCTGGGCATTCCAGGCCCGCTTTGGGGGTATGCTCATCCCCACCGTACCATGCCTCCTGACCCTGCGGCTTCCAGCGCTGTCACAAGGGGCCTTGACCATCCAGACGGGGCCACAGTCTACACTGTACATCCACCCAAAGAACTTGGGGGAGAGGGTCCCCATGTGCAAGAGAAGAGGTCAAATCTATGTCGAACTCAGATATCCCGTTTTCCCCAACAATACCCAGGTCTGGGCCCCGCTCCCCATCCCCAGGGTGTTTGTACAGGCAGCAGGGCAGCCCAGGCAGCCGGGTGCCCTCCACCCCCGCCCCCGACGGTCCTCATTTTGAGCTTCTGTAAACAATGTCTCCCTGTCTCCACCCTCTGAGAAGTGCTGGGTCTGGACTGACCTTGCCCAACTGCTCTGTCCTGTGCTGGTCTCTGTCAGGCACACCGTCAGTACCAAGTACGGGTGGCTGACAGCATAGAGGCTGAGGGATGGACAGCATGACCCAGGTGGCCCTGTCCCTGGGAAGCCCGGCTCTGGCTTCTCAGCCTGGGCCTGGTGGGGGGGGGGGCGCGGACATTCCCAAGCCGTAGCCCAGGCCTCCACAGCCCTGGCACCGGCTGGGTCGCGGACCAAGCTTCTGCCTAGGGAGTGGGTGTCGAGACAGAGGAATCCCACCACTCCAGCACAGACCAGCCCCTTGTCCTGAAGGCGGGGTGAGGTGCTGGGCTGGGCCCTGGACCCAAGCCAGGCTATGCCTGCCCTACACTCCAGGACGAAAATGAGGAAAGGAGTGGGAGGGTGGCGTCACTGGAGGGCTCCGCCTGCTGCGGCAATTAGCGGGGGCGGGTAGGCCCTGAGTCCTACCCGGGTAGAGCCCAGGTTACTGCCCAGCTACGGAGTGGCAGCCGCTGCTGGCAGCTGGGCCTGGGCGTCAGGTTGGTATCTGTAACACTAGTGTTTGCTCGGGGAGTCGTGTGTGATTCGCTTCCAGCCCTAGATATTTATGAGTCAGTCTGTGGGTGAGTCCCGGGGTCCTTGCCTCGGGGCGAGCTCCTCAGTGACCTAAGTGGGTGCTGTAGGCGGGTCCCGCAGTCCCCGCCCGGACATCAGGGGCCTCCCCGTCGCAAGTCCCCAGACTCCGCGCGCCCCTGGCCTGCGCTGGCCCCTCCCTGCACCCCTGGGCCGCCGTGGGTTCCCCCCAGCGTCCCCACGAGGCGGGGCACTGGGTCTCGGGCCCGGGGGCGGGGCTCCAAGGCCCCCGGAGGGCGCGGCCGTTCCCCGCGCGCTGCGATTGGGCGGCGCGTGTCGGCCCCGCCCCCACCCGCCCCCACTAAAAACACCTCGTCCGCCACCGCCGGGCACAGCGTCTCCGCCCTCGCAGGCGGGGACCCCCGGCAGCGGCGACCGCGGGGCCCGGGCCGGCCCCGGAGCGAGCGGGAGCGCGCGGCGCGCCCCGGATCCCGGGGGCCGGAGCGATGTTCCCCAAGGAGGCGACGTGGAACATCTCGTTCGCGGGCTGCGGCTTCCTGGGCGTCTACCACGTCGGCGTGGCCTCCTGCCTCCGCGAGCACGCGCCCTTCCTGGTGGCCAACGCCGCGCACATCTACGGCGCCTCGGCCGGGGCGCTCACGGCCACGGCGCTGGTCACCGGCGTCTGCCTGGGTGAGGGGAAGGGAGGGGACCCGGCGGCGGGGTCCTGCCTGGGCGAGCCGCGGCCAGACGGATGTTCTTCCGGAGCAGGGAGCGCCCCCGTCCCCGCCCCGCTCGGGGGTCTGTCCGCCGGGGAAGCTGGCGGGGGCGCGGTGCGGCGGGGAGGGGTCTCTGCCCGCGCCCGGGACCCGGGGCCGAAGGTCCGATCTCGGGCGCCGTCCCGGGGGCGGGGCCTGGTTTGTTTTGCTCAGTGGTGCCCAGGAATTGGGGTGGGGCCACGCGAGCCTCGGGCCGAGACCAAGGCCCTTGAGGGCGCAAAGGCTGGAGGACGGACAGGTGCAGCAGAAGGTATTTCACTGGAAAGAGAAAGTAACTCGTGGGCGGGGCCGTGAGAGTCAGGGAAGGGATCTCACTGCCCCAGTAGCCCCTCAGTGCCCCAGTAGCCCAGTAATGGCCCGGATGCCCGCCGTCACTGTGTCCTGCGTCTGTGCTGCTGTGTCCCCGGGGTCCCGTATGGGGGTGGCCTCTGAAGAGATATTTGGGTAGTGGCCTGGTGCCTCCCAGGGCACTTGGGGGAGGAACCTGGCAGGTAGGGCTTGGCAAGGCGAAGTCTCCCCCACCCTCTCCCTCTTTGCCTCCCGCCCACTGTGGGCCTGGGTCCCCGGTGTGGCCAACCCACTCCCTGGCATGGGAGGCGCGCCTGGGCCCTCCAGCCGCCCGGGCGGTAGTGGGGCTGTCGGTGGGCACTGGGGTGGCCTTCTCTGCTGGGACACACACATTTCGGGAGGCGCCTGCGAGTGCTGTTTACAGCACGCTGAGTACGTCAGGAGTCCCGGGAGTGGTGCCCAGCACCCAGCCTACCAGGGCAGCCAAGGTGACAGAAGGGTCAACAGGCCTTAGAAGGCCCTGCCCGGCAGGAGTCTGTCCAGGCTTCTCCCCTGCCCCCTTCCAGTGACCTTTGCCCTGAGGTCGGTCTGGGGTAAAAGGAGAACCGCTCTCCATCCTTGGGACCTGGCGGTTCTCAGCTGTGGGGCTGCCCCTCCCTCACTGCGAACCTTCAGGCCAGTGTCTGTCACGCCTGCATGCTGGCCTCAGGCCATACCCGACTCACTGCCCTGGAGGTGACTCCCAGGACACCTTCTCTCCCCACCCCCCACCAGGAAGCCTCTTTCTCAGGAGTGGCCTCGGGCAGCTACAGTCCCCATGGCGTGGCGGGTTCTGCCCCCACTTCTGCCCAGGACAGTGGTCCGCACTCCTCACCCAGGCTCTCCGGCTCCGTGACCCCTCATGGGCCCCTGCCCTGCCTTTGCCTGAGGCCAGCGCCCATCAGCCCTCAAGAAGGGTGTTGGGGGGGCTCGCTCTTGGCTGCAGAGTCACAATTGTGCTTTCTCAAGGGTGGCGGGGCCCCACTCGTTCCAGCCCTGTGCCCACAGGCCTGTGCTGGACTCCCTGGACCTGGCCAACTGTGTGAAGGCTGCAGCTGGTCAAGGTTGAACCTCTGCCTTCCCCCCTTCACAGGCTGGGGGCCACGCCCGGCCAGGCCCAGTGACTCATGGATCAGGGCAAGCAGTTGGGAAACACTGGACAGAGGGAAGGCCGTGGCCCCAGCTGTCTGCCTCCCCGGGGGGCGGCCTGCCTGTCTCTCCAGGGGCAGGTAGCAAAAGTCCCGGTCATGGGCCAGGCCTCGCGATGGATACTGGGAATTCTCCAGGGTAGACGGCAGTTCCATGGCTGCGTGTGTGGCTCTGGGTGTGGAACCATGGGGGTGCTAAGCCAGGGGTGCCGGGCCCTGACCGTTGGCCCTGCTCACCCAGGCGAGGCAGGTGCCAACATCATCGAGGTGTCTAAGGAAGCCCGGAAGCGGTTTCTGGGTCCACTGCACCCCTCCTTCAACCTGATAAAGACTATCCGTGGCTGCCTGTTGAAGACCCTGCCTGCTGACTGCCATGAACGTGCCAGCGGGCGTGTGGGCATCTCCCTGACCCGCGTCTCTGATGGCGAGAACGTCATTATATCCCACTTCAGCTCCAAGGACGAGCTCATCCAGGTGGGCCCTGGGGGGCCGCGTGGGGGCACAGTATGAAAGCAGGGTCTCTGCTCACCACGCCCTCTCTGCCCCTGCCCCACAGGCCAACGTCTGCAGCACCTTCATCCCTGTGTACTGCGGCCTCATCCCTCCGGCCTTCCAGGGCGTAGTAAGTATCCCCTGGGCACCTGTTCTGGGTGGCAAGGGTTGGCCACTGGGCAGGCAGGGGGACAAGCCAGTGGTGCCCCCCGCACACCCCGAAGTCCTACCACAGCCTGTTGCCTCACTTCCCCGAATTACTCAAGAGCAGGCCCGCCCCCTGGAGAGGCATACTTCCTGTGGCTGCCTCTGCCCCTCCCCCATGGTCTGGCCATCTGCTCAGGGGCCCATGGCCAGTGCCCAGTGGGTGAAAGGATGGAAGGAAATAGCCACGGGGGGGGGGGGGCCAAGGTGGCCCAGTGGGCTAGCCAGCTCAGTCCTCAGGCCCCTCCCTGTGCGACCGTGTGTCTCTCAGCGCTATGTTGACGGCGGCATCTCAGACAACCTGCCACTCTACGAGCTCAAGAACACCATCACCGTGTCCCCCTTTTCGGGAGAGAGTGACATTTGCCCACAGGACAGCTCCACCAACATCCATGAGCTCCGGTTCACCAACACCAGCATCCAGTTCAACCTGCGTAATCTCTACCGCCTGTCCAAGGCCCTGTTCCCGCCCGAGCCCACGGTGAGCCATGCACCAGGGGGCCTACGCCGCCTCCTCGCTGGGCGCCAGGGGAGCGAGCTGCCCAGAGGGCCTCTCCTAAGTGACCGGGGGGAGGTGGGGTTCGCACAGCCTTTCCACCGCGGTCGCCTGTCCAGCGGCCCGGATCCAAGTCACCTTGGTGGAAGGGGTTGCCGGGCCTCCGGGGGCAGAGCCGGGCACCTGTGGCTCCCTGCGCCTGTTCATTGTTCCCCCTGCCTTAGGTGTTGCGAGAGATGTGCAAGCAGGGCTACAGGGACGGGCTGCGTTTTCTGAGGCGGAACGGTGCGTGGGTGCTGCCTGGAATGCCGTGGGGAGGCCGGTGTGCTGGCCCCTGGCCTCTGCCCCTGCTCCCATGCTGATCACCTGTCTGGGGGGGTCTCCACCCAGGCCTCTTGAACCGGCCCAACCCCCTGCTGGCGCTGCCCCCTGCCTGCCCCCATGCCCCAGAGGACGAGGATGTGGAGGAGGCCCAGGGGGCCCTAGTGAAGGGTCCCTTGCAGCCACCCCTGGAGGATCACATCCTGGAGCATCTGCCTGCGCGGCTCAATGAGGGTGTGTGCAGGTGGGGTGGGGGAAGGGGCGTACCTGGCTGGTGGGGTTGCTGAGGAGCAGGGAGGTGCTGGCTTCCCCGACTGCGGCTGCGGGTCAGCTTCCCTCTTGCGCCCACCCCAGCCCTGTTGGAGGCCTGCGTGGAGCCCAAGGACCTGCTGACCGCGTTCTCCAACATGCTGCCTGTGCGTCTGGCCACAGCCATGATGGTGCCCTACACTCTGCCCCTGGAGAGTGCTGTGTCCTTCACCATCCGGTGAGGGGGGGAGGGGGCTTTGGGCGGGGACTGTGGGGGACCAGGCCTCGAAGTCATCCGTGAGTAGAGGACACCACGGAGAAGAGGCCACTGGTGGGGGATACTGCAGAGATGCCACATCAAGGGTCCCAGAAGCTGGGGCACAGGCCGCGGTGGAGTGGGCGTGGGTTGGGGGCGGAGCCATGGAGTCTGAGGCCACGCCCCCCCCCCCCCCAGCTTGCTGGAGTGGCTGCCTGACGTCCCTGAGGACATCCGGTGGATGAAGGAGCAGACAGGTAGCATCTGCCAGTACCTGGTGATGCGTGCCAAGAGGAAGCTGGGAAGCCACCTGCCCTCCAGGTGAGCCCCCCTCACTGTTGTGTCTCCCCCGGGCCTGAAGCCCCAGGGACCCCTCTAAAGCCCTCCTGCCCTCCACCCCTCCCCACTGCAGGCTGACGGAGCAGGTGGCGCTGCGTCGCGCCCAGTCACTGCCGTCTGTGCAGCTGTCCTGTGCCGCCTACAGCGAGGCACTGCCCAGCTGGATGCGCTCCGGCCTCTCGCTAGGGGACGCACTGGCCAAGTGGGAGGAGTGCCAGCGCCAGCTGCTCCTGGGCCTTTTCTGCACCAACGTGGCCTTCCCCCCTGATGCCCTGCGCATGCATGCCCCCGCCGGTCCTGCCCCTGAGTCCCCACAGCTCCCACCCGGCTCGCCCCCTTGCTGAGTGCACCCCCCCCCGCCCTCCCTCAGCCCTCGGGGTCCCGGTGCTGAGGGCTGGGCCCCCAGCTTCCCTGCCCCGTGAGGTGGGGCCCTGGGGCGGGCTGGGCCTCTCTCCAGGACTCCTGCACAAGTAAGGAGATGGGGTCCCTCACAGCTGCTAGAACGGGACTGGCCGTCGACCCCCCACCGACCACTCACCCCTCACCTGTGCCTTCATCTCCCCCTGAGGCCCCTCCCCGGCCCGGGGCGCCCCGGTCCGAGCAGTGTTACTCCTGAGAGCTTTGCACCTGCTCCTCCCTCATTTGCCACGTTTCGCCGAAGAACCTTTGTGAGGAATTATTTATTTTCGCCAAAGCAGTTATAATAAATGCCACAGCTCAGCCCCTGCCTCCTTCACTTCATGTGACTCCCCGGCCACAGGGCCCTGCTGTCCTGCAGCCTGGCATTCAGGGCCTGCACCCGGCCCGAGTCCTGGCCCGCTTCTCTGCTGGGACTCCTCTGTCCGGCCCGCTTTGCCCCGAGGCGTGCTGCCTGACCCTTGGGCACGGCTTTCCAAGGCCCAGTGGAAATACCAGGACCAAGATCCTTGCTAAATAAAAACTGAGAAATGTTTACAAAAGGTGGTGTCTGCATCTGGGCTCCGTGGTGACACAGGTGGTGTGGGGCTGACTTCAGGCTTGGGCGGCTGTGGAGGGTGAGGTTCCCAAGCTGAGCCCCGGGGACCTGAGAGCCGCAGGGCCTGCCCCACTTTGGGCATTTGCCACAAGGCGCTGGGCCTCCCCTTGTCACAGCAGACCTCACTGGCCTCACTCCCTTGTCCCCCTCCCCACCACACCCCCATGACCCCTTGCCGGCGTGTAGGATGTAGGACGGGTCGGAATGTCAGGCAGGGTGAGGTCTGACCCAGAGGCGGCTGGACCTTGTTCTGTGGGAGATGGTTTCCTGAAAGCGTCCTCTGCCCTGGACAGTCTGAGGGGATGCAGCCAACCCTTGCTGGTGACCCAAAGGGCCCACGGGGGAGGGGCGTTGGAGCCGAGCTGGGTGGTTGGCTGGCTGTCCGGCTGTCCCCTGACCAAGGTGTGAGGCTGGCGGGCCCCAGCCAACAATAACGGATGGGACTGAAGGACTGGGAGAGCCGGCTGGGCAGGTCCCCAGGTCCGGGTGCGGGTGCCGGGAGCCGCCCCCCGCTGGCTCTCAAAGTCCCGTCCTATAGGCCCAACCCGTTCTAGTTCAGCGGGATCCCAGGCCCCTGGAGAAGCAGAGGCCTCCAGACCCCCAACCACCTCCCAGGTGCGTGCAGGGGGCCGCGCTGGGGCTAGGGAGGGGGGGCCCCAGCCGGAAGGTCGCATGCAAGCCCCGCCCAGCTCCTTCTCGCAGCCCGCCCCGCAAGGAGAACCCAAGTCAGGGCTGTGCCCCAAAAGGAGAGCTTGGGGGCAGGCTGCCTGGGGAGGCCCCCCTGGGCCCCCCACCCCCACGGCCTCCCTTCCCCACTTGTACATGCATTACAGCGAGGCAGCGGATTTAAAGGCCATTTTGTAATGTGTTCCCTGCTAATTGTTAAACAACGGGAAAGACCGAAATTGGAAAACACAGGAAAGAAAGTGTAGCGCACCCCGCCCTCCTGGAGATACCCGCTGAAAATATCTTGCTCTGCCTCCTGCCCGGCTTTGTCCTGCACATACTTTTTGGCGCCTTAAATCGGGATCCTGGGGACAGACCTGCTCAGGAAGGGTCCCCAGGCCCCCGGGGTCATCTCCGCCCCGACGTGAAGTCAGCTCTGCCCGGACAGACGCCGGGGAGGGGGGCGGGGGGCGGCGGGGGCCGGGGGCCGGGGGCCGGGCGAGGTGCGGGGCGAGAGCCGGGCGGCTGGGGCCGCGCGGAGAGGCGGAGACACGGCGACAGTGGCGGCGGCGGCTCCGCCCGGGGCCGGCCCACGCCGGGGTCTCGGTTCCCCGCCGGGCAGCAGAGGCCGCTCCGGGCCCGCGCCCCCCGCGCGCCGCCGCCTTTCCAGGGGAGCCGCGGGGCCGCGCGGCAGGTGAGGCGGCGCAGCTCGCAGGTAGGCGCCGCGCGGGTCCCGCCGCTGCGCCCCGCCCTGCGGTCGCCGCGGGACTCGCCGACCCTCCGGGGCCCTTGGGAGCCGAGCGGCGGCGGGCGCAGGGCGGGCGGGCCCGGCCGGCACGTCTGCCCCGCTCCCCCGCCCGGCGCCGCGCAGCTTCCGGCGGGGATGGACCTCTGGTCCCGGGGAGCCCGCGAGCCGCGGGCGGAGTGGCGCACCCGCTGGGGCGAGGCGACGGCGAGAGCGGGGAGACGCCTCCGGCCCCCCGACCCCCTCACGCCCTTCCTCGCACATGCCCTCTTTGGACGTTGCGCCCCCCCCCCCCGGCGCCCCTGGAATATGGGCGCGGAGGGCAAATTAGGGTCCCAGACTGAAAGGAGAGGACCCCAGAATCCCCGGGCCGGGGGTCAGTGTTGGGAAATCCGGGGCCTGGGCGTTGTGGGGACCACAGGTGGGTCTGATTGGGGGGCGGGGCGCCATGCGGGGAGGGGTCCGAGCAGGTTCCGCGGCCTGGAGGGGGCGAGTCCGGCGGAGCAGGAGGGCCTAGTGCCGGGGAAGGGCCGTCGAGCCCGGAATGTGGCGCGTTCCCGACAAGAGCCGTGGAAGGCACCGGCGCTTCAGGCTGAGACCCCGCGCCCTCGCCCCCGCCCCCCCCCCCGAGGCCCCGGGCGCGGTGGGAGGGGCGGCGGCAGAAGGGGCGCAGCGCACGCCGCCTGCCGGCGGGCTGGAGCCAGGACCGGCGAGGCCCAGACTCGGCCCAGCCGGGTCGGCCCGGTCTCCAGGTGCCCACCTTCAGCAGCTGCTCGGCCCCTTCCCCCGCTGGCCAGTCCGTCACCCGAGCTCTCTCCCTCCAGCTGCCAGGAGCCCGCACCTCCTTATTTTCCATCGCAAGGCTCTCCTGTAGCTGCCTCCCCACCCTCAACCCCCACGGGGGTTGCCCCTCCCGCAGGCCCTTCCCCGCACCAGCTCCGTCTCCCCGGCAGCCCCCGCAGGCCAGGGGCCGGCGCCACCGCACCCATGACACCCCTTTTCTGCAGCGACCGCTCCCAGTTATCCTTCTCTCCGGACCTCTGCCATGCCTCCCCCCACCTTCCCACCTGGTGGGGGAGGCTCCTCTGCGCCCCCCGGCCCCACCACCCAGCGGGGTCCTCACCCGCAGCCTCTCTGCCTCCCCTCCCCGCTTCTCATTTCCACTGAGCTCTGTTAGGCCCTGACTCTTCCTTGGCTTCGCAGCACGTGATGGCAGAGACCCCCGTGGCCGCGGCCAGGCCTGGGGCTGGGGAGGCCCCGGAGGAGGAGGAGGAGGAAGGAGGGGGCTCCCTGAGGCCACGGGCAGAGATGCTGGAGCAGGCCCAGGAGCTCTTTCTGCTGTGCGACAAGGACGCCAAGGGCTTCATCACTCGGCATGACCTGCAGGTGAATCCCCAGTCCCAAGGGGCTGCCCCAGGCCGGCCGAGCTCGGCGCTCAGCCCCGCCGTCCTTGCCTGGCCAGGGCCTGCAGAACGACCTGCCTCTCACACCCGAGCAGCTAGAGGCTGTGTTCGAAAGCCTGGATCAGGCCCGCACAGGCTTCCTCACCGCTTGGGAGTTCTGCCTTGGCCTGGGTGAGCTGAGCCCCCCTCCCCACCCCCGGCTGCCCAGAGACCCTTCAGTGGCACGTGTGTGGCGCCTCTCCACTGGCTGCCTATGGAACACGCACTGGTGTCAGGACACACAGACCCCAGAGGAAGCCTCCCTGCCCCCTGCCCAGATGCCCTGTGTGCTGCCCGCCCCCCCTCCAATCTATGCCAAACTCAGGTGGGGCCGGGAGCCAGGCTTGCCCTGTTCTGGCCCGGCTGTCACCTTTCATTCCTAGGCCACGAATCTGACCAGGATAAGGAAGAAAAACAGGAAACTGGGCTCAGAATAAGGACAGGATGTGTGCGTGTGTGTGTGTGTGTGTGTGTGTGTGTGTGTGTGTGTGTGGTGGCTGAGCCAGGGCGCTAACCTACAGCCTTGGTAATCCCACCTTTCCATGCCCGCAGGGAAGTTTGCGGGGGCGGAGTCAGCCCAGGGCACACTGCCCTCCCAGGCTCTGGAGGAAACCTTTGAGTCGGGCTGGTCAGATGTGCAGGGCACCGGGGGCTCCCTGGAAGAGGAGGAGGAGGAGGAGAGGTTCTGCGAAGCACTGCAGCAGCTGGGGGTGGCCCCGGTCCTGGGCCAGTGAGTTGGTGCTGACCCAGGTCCCTCTTCTACCCCCCCCCCCCCGCATGCTGCCTGTCCACAACGCCCGCGTGTCCGTTCCAGTCCAGGGTCCCGAGGCGGGGACTGGCCCAGTCGCTCCGTCAGCTGTGACACCGGGGAGGGGCTGAGCGTGATTTCCCGCAGAATTTGCATTGCAGGAGGCGAACGCGGCTGGTCTATCCAGGGCTGCAGGTGTCTCCAGAGGGCTTACCCTTCGGGATGGGGTCAGGGAGCCCCGACTTCAGCTTCAGCCCCTGTCCGCCCCCTGCAGGCAGCGAGCGGTGCGGACGCTCTGGACCCGGCTGCAGCGTGAGCGACCCGAGCTGCTGGGCTCCTTCGAGGACGTTCTGATGCGCGCGTCGGCCTGCCTGGAGGAGGCAGCCCGAGAGCGCGACAGCCTGGAGCAGGCGCTGCGGCGGTGAGGGTTGGGGCCGGGCGGGGTCTGGGGCCCAGGTGGCTGGGCTCGGGAGGCGGTAGAGGCGAAACTGGGGCCTATGGTGCCGGGGGGCTCAAAACAGCAGTCTCCCCCTCGTCCTCCCCGGCCCCCGAAGGCGGGAGAGCGAGCACGAGAGGGAGGTGCGGTGTCTGTACGAGGATTTGGAGCAGCAGCTTCGCGAGCAGCGCCGGCGCCCCAGCCGTCAGGTGCGCGAAGCCCCGCCCCGCCCCGGCCCTGCCCAATCCCAGACGCGCTAGTGCCCCGGCCCCGCCCCCTCAGGTGGGTCCCCCCGGCCCCCCCCGGCGCGTGCCCCCCCCCCCCCCCGCTGGGGCTCAAGAGCCCCGCGCGCCTCCCAGGACCTCCCGCGGGGGGCGCGCGCGGGCCTCCTGGAGCTGGAGCTGCAGAGCCGGGAGCAGGAGCTGGAGCGGGCAGGCCTGCGGCAGCGGGAGGTGAGTGGCCCCCGCCCGCCCTGCAGGCTTGGGGCGCTGACAGACCCAGGCGGGGCCCCATTCCCGCCGGCACCCACGTTCCCGGTACGCCTGAGGTCCCCGGGCCTCCGTGNGCGCGAAGCCCCGCCCCGCCCCGGCCCTGCCCAATCCCAGACGCGCTAGTGCCCCGGCCCCGCCCCCTCAGGTGGGTCCCCCCGGCCCCAGACGGCGCCCCCCCCCCCCCCCCCCCAGCTGGAGCAGCAGCTGCAGGCCCGCGCCGGCGAGCAGCTGGAGGCGCAGGCGCAGAACGCCCAGCTGTGGCTGGCCAACGAGGCGCTGAGGACTCAGCTGGAGGGGGCGCAGGAGCAGCTCCGCAGGCTGGAAGGCGACGCGCGGGGCCGCCGGGAGCAAACCCTACGGTGCCTGGGGCTCGGCGCGGAGGCAGACCCTCAGGGGCGGGCCAGGGAGGGGCTGGGGCCGGCGGGCGAGGCGGGGCGGGGATCGCTTTGGGGGGCTCAGGTTCCGGCCACTTCCAGACCGGCCCTCGGGGTGCGCGTGGGTCAGCGTCGTGGGACGCCCCGAGGAGCCTCCCTGTACCCAGGTCACCACCGCCCTCCTGCAGGGATGTGGTCACTGTCTCGAGGAACATGCAAAAAGAGAAGCTCAGCCTCCTGCGGCAACTGGAACTCCTCAGGTGCGGCCTGGCGGAGGCCGAGAGGGGGGGCCCGACACAGCCGGGACCTCCCAGCGCCCAAACGTTCCCTGCCCGCCTCATCCCACCGCGGGGAAGCCCCTCCTCATTCTGTCCCCCGTCCCTCATGGCGTATCCCAGCCAGACACCCGGGCTGAGGGAGAGGAGCCCGCATTCCCCCCCCCCCCCACTCCCCAGGAATGCTGCCCCTTGAGACCTCTCAGAGCCCTGGGACTCCCCTTCCCCAGGGAGCTGAACGCGAGGCTCCGGGATGAGAGGGACGCCTGTGAGGACAAGCGGCTAGCCGGTGGCCGGAGGAAAGCTCTGGCCATCGCCCGCTTGCCGGGGCCCGCCTGCTGCGGTTGCTGCTGCTGCAGCTGGGCTCGCCCCCCAAGACGAGGCTCCGGCCACCTTCCCAGTGCCCGCTGACCATGCCCGAGAGACTCACCGGGCGCTGCTTGGAGAGGCCACACTCGCAGACGATGCATCATGGCTAGGGGCTGCCCGTCCAGCACGTGGGCTCTGGGCAGTGCGCTGCCGGGCCTGCGTGCGTGCAGACATGAAGGAGCTAACCTAGGAGTGGTCAGCGTCTCGCGTGCCTCCCTGCTGGGTCTCATCCTGTCGCCGTCCATCAAATCCATCTCTGACCAGCCGAAACTCTTCCTCCTCCTAATAAAGTCCATCGACTGCACCGTGACCTCCTTGGGCTATGTGTACGTGAGCCACAGCATTTCCGTGGCACACACATGAGGTGTGCTCAAGGCAAGTGGACGGTGCCCGTGTGGCACAGGTCCTGAGGTGCTGGGGTTGTGGTCGCCCCTGCCTGTCTCTGGTCATGCCTGCAAGCCCTCACTGTCCATTAAAGCTGAGGCCCCGTGGGGGCCTCTGTGGGAACGAGGGGACGGAGGCCCACTGTCTGGGCCCCCTCCCCATACCCGTCCTCACGCAGCCCCAGGTGGACCAGCTCAGCCCGCTGGAGCTGAGCCAGTCCTGAGTGGGACCTCCTGGGGCACTTCTGCACCCACCCGCTGTCAGAACCATGAGCCTTGGGCAGGGAGCTGGGCACCAGTGCCGCCCACGATCCATGGAGAGCTATTCCAAATGACTGCAGACCCTGACGCACCCTGCCTGGGTCTGGGAACGAGCCTGCTGGGCTGGGAGTCCCCTCCCCCTCCTCACTCCCACTGCGGGGTTTCCCAGCCCAGCAGGTCGGAGAGCTCTGCGCTGTCTCCCCCACCCCTTTCCACCCCTCCCAGGACCAATGCCTTCCAGACTGGGCTGTCTGTGGCTGGGGCCCCAGGTCCCCGCTCCAGGCTGTCCTCCGTTCTGCACCTGGAGCGACCGCACTCCGTCGTCTGACCGCACCCCCAGACCCTTCCCCAGCAAGGCCAGCATCTATTCCGCCAACGCTGCAAGCCTCTGGGTGGTCCCCGGGTGGTGGGGAGAGAACAGGGCCTGGGCCTGGAGGAGGGCCTCCCCCGCCCCCAGCCAGCTCCTCTGTCTCCTGAGGGCGTGAGCCCCGGCTGGGCTGCGGGCGCCCCCGGGTGCGGCACGCCCGCCCCCGCAGTCCCGGGCGGACCCCAGCGCCCGCACCGACTGGCGTCCCCGCCGCGCGCCAGCGCAGAGCGCCGTCCAGACCTGCCCCGCGTCTGCCGGGGGCGGGGCCTGCGGGCCGGGGGCGGGGCGCGTCTCACTCCCGGGCCGGCGACCCGCCGCGCAGTCTCGGCGCTCGGAGCCACCGCCCCCCGCCCCCGTCCCCGCCGCCGCCGGGCCGGACTGCGACGCGTGGCCGGTGAGTGCGCCGCCTGGCCGGGCGGGCCGGGAGGGGCCGAGGGTCCCGGGACCGTGCGCGGCCCGCCCCCCGAGGCCGGCTGCGGGCCACGGGAGGCCCGGGAGGCCCGGTGGGCCCGGTCCGCAGGCCGGCACCAGCTCTCTCCCGGCCCTTTCCAGAGGGGCACGGACGCCCGGGAGCCGGACGGGCGGAGGGAGGCCCGGGGCGGGGCGCCACCTGGGTCTTCGCACGGGCCTGGGGGGCCCTTCGACTCCATCTGAGCACCCTAGTCATTGTCTCTGGACACCGGTGCCTTTCCCTACGGCTGGGTGAAGGTGGGCGCGCCGCGGGCTCGCCCGGGCGGGGACTCCTCCCCGGGCCTGGCCCGCGCCGATCGCGGGGCTCCCTTACTTGGGGCGTAGGCCGCCGAGGGTCCGGCTGAATCGCGGGGGCCAGGGCGGGGCGGTTCCGTCCCAGGCCGCAGGAACTATTTCTGGCCGGCGCTTTCCCAGGGGGCTCACATCCGCCAGGCGCTCCCGGAAAGAAGGGCCCCTCCTCCGCCCGCCGCCCGCGCCTGGGGGCTGGACCTGTGTCTGGAACCAGCCTCCTCAGAAGGCTGGGACCTCCCCAAGGGCCCAGGGGCAGCCTGCGGGCACGTGGGCCCCCGTAAGCCCAGCTCCGCTGAAGGGGTCTGCGTCTATTTTTTTTTCCTTCCTGGGGTGCAGGTACCAATGCTTGGTGGGGTGAGGGACAGGGCGGGTCTGGCAGGAAGGCCCAGGGTGGGGTGCTTGGAGAAGGCGGGTGGTCCCTCCCAGGATCACACTATCCAGAAATGTCTTCCGCCCTGCCTCGCCCAAGCGCAGACCAAAATACCCGGCCTGGCCTCCTCCCCTGCCTGGCCTGGAAGTCCGGCCAGCCCGATCCATTGCCAGGGGTGGCCGCAGGACGGGTGGCAGGCGCTCGCCTCTCCAGCGTGGGCCAGACCTGTGACCTGTCCCTGCTCTCCTAGAGGAGCCTCCTCCGGAACTTCTGTCCACCTGTCTCACAGCCAGCCGGGTGAGCGTGGGGTGGGGCGGGTGAAAGTTCAGCTCTGGGTGGTGCTGCGGCAGTCTGGAAGCACAGCCTGGGGCTTTCAGCTGCCATCCGTGTCCCCGGGCTCTCTGCCCCCTCCCCCCCACCCCAGTGCAGACAGCCCACAAGAGAGCAGGGAAGGGGTCCCTGGGGTGCCGCTGCGGAGCACAGCCTGGAGGCTCACATCTTGCTGGGTTTGGTGGGACCCTTTCCAGTAGTGAGGACCGGCAGAGGAAGTACCCCACATCTGGGGGATGTTTCTGCTGGCTCTGCATGCCCAGAACCCTGTATTGTCACTCTGCGGGAGGAAGGCAGGCCTGGCTTTTAACAGACACCTGAGGGGCTTCCCTGAGGCCGCCTGGCTGTAAGGGGCAGATCCGGCTGAGTGGCCTCCTCCCCCCCAGCAGCCGATAGGTTCCTGCCAGCCTGTGATGTGGAGCCCCGGGAATGCTGTGTGCCGGGAGGGGGCGGGGGGGGCCTGCATGAGCTCATCCTGAGGTGCCTGCTGGGGCTTCTGACCCTGGCTGCCAGCAGGGTGAGTCAGCCGGTGGTGGCTGGGATCCTTCACGGCCCCCTGGTGTCCAGGGCTCTGGTCAGGGGAGCCAGGCCCTTTGGCCTTCCAGGGCCCGGCCTTCAGCTTGGCTGGGGCACTAGACCTCCTACCTGGCTGCAGCAGGGGACGGGGGTGCTGGGATGGGGGGTCCCGAACTGCTCCCCCAGGAAGTGTCCTGGTTCTCAGAGACACTGTCCCAGCACCTTCATTCAGGGCCAGTGGTGAGCTTGGCTTCAGCGAGGGGCTGGCCTGGGCATCGGTGTCCCCTCCTACTGACCCCCCCCCCCGGCCTCTCAGCCCCAGGATGGGGGAGTTCAACGAGAAGACCACGTGCGGCACCGTCTGCCTTAAGTATCTGCTCTTCATCTTCAACTGCTGCTTCTGGGTGAGGAGTGGGCACCCCTTCCCGCTGGCCTCCCCTGCCAGCCACCTCCTCCCTCCCATTCCTGGTCCTTCAGAGGAACCCTGGGCTGTGGGCTCAGCCCCATCTCTCAGGCCTGGCGCCGGATGTGGTGACCAGTGTGCACTGCCCACAGCTGGCTGGTCTGGCCGTCATGGCGGTGGGCATCTGGACACTGGCCCTCAAGAGTGACTACATCAGCTTGCTGGCCTCGGGCACCTACCTGGCCACAGCCTACATCCTGGTGGTGGCTGGCGTTGTTGTCATGGTGACCGGAGTTCTGGGCTGCTGCGCCACCTTCAAGGAGAGGCGGAACCTGCTGCGCCTGGTTAGCACGGCACGGCTGGCACTGGGGTGTCGGATGGGGGTGGGGCATACCCAGCAGGGGCTCCCCACTGGGCTGCTGGGGTGTGGGTTCTGGGGTCCTGGTGAGAACGGGAAGGGGGGGCTCTAGTGACGCTGTGGGGAGAACCTCTGCTGTGCACACCTGTGTGAGGGGGGGCCGTCCCTGCACCCCAGCTGGGCCAGCTGAGGGAAAATGTCAGGGGGTGCCAGCACCCACCTGCTGCCCGGAGCCCTCTGTGGCCACTTGGGATCGGAGGTTGGCTCTGCTCCGTCACGCCTGGACGCTAGGAGTCCTCACGGGACAGGGGTGTCTGCGCCCACCCCACCTAACCTGTCCCCGCGCATCCCCAGTACTTCATCCTGCTCCTCCTCATCTTTCTGCTGGAGATCATCGCTGGCATCCTGGCCTACATCTACTACCAGCAGGTGAGGGACCTGGCCAGGCAGCACGGGGACATGCACACATGGGGACACGCATGTGTACATGCAGGGACACAGATGTGCACGTGTAAGAAGACATGCACACATGCGGGAAAGGACACGCCCTGTCCCCACCCTGTGCTCCAGAGCCCACCGCAGTACCGCGAGGCCCCGGGGGTGGGGGCTGGCTCACAGTGCGGAGGGCACAAGGTAGGGCGGACAACTTGCCTGCAGCACCCCAAGATGCCCACGTGGGGGCTCATGTGGGGAGCAAGGTGTCCATGGGACCTGGAGCTCCCTCCCTGCCCTCAACCCTGTCCACGGCCACCTGAGTGACTCTCCAGCCTAGCCCACCCCTCCCCAGCCAGCATCTGGCCCTAGCCCTGCTTGCAGACCCCCCCACGTCTCGCCAGTCTGTCCCTGCCTCCACGTGCCCCAGCTAGGAGGGTCTTAGATTGTCCCGCTGAAGCTGTCACCTCACCCCCAGCTGAACACAGAGCTCAAGGAGCACCTGAAGGACACCATGACCAAGCTGTACCACCAGCCAGGACACGAAGGTGTGACCAGTGCGGTGGACAAGCTGCAACAGGAGGTGTGTGGGCTGCACGGTGGTGGGTGTGCACACCCCTGCGGGCCTCCCCTGGCCTCCGAGGGAGTCCCTGCCCTGGGCGCTCAGCCGAGACCGCGTTCCCACTGCAGTTCCGCTGCTGTGGCAGCAACAACTCCCATGACTGGAGGGACAGCGAGTGGATCCGCTCAGGCCAGGCGGATGGCCGAGTGGTTCCCGACAGCTGCTGCAAGACTGTGGTGACCGGCTGTGGGCAGCGGGACCACGCCTCCAACATCTACAAGGTGGAGGTAGGTGCCTGGGCTCCCTGGTGCAGGGCTGACCAGCCAGGGGCCCCACTCAGGAGGTGGGGGGGGCTGGACCCGCCCACCTTCGGCACCCTTATCCCTCCGCCCCCAGGGTGGCTGCATCACCAAGCTGGAGACCTTCATCCAGGAGCACCTGAGGATCATCGGGGCAGTGGGCATCGGCATCGCCTGCGTGCAGGTTCGGCGGGGGGCGGGCAGTCCCCGGGGCGCAGGGGACACGGGGCGGCGGTGCCCTGCTCACCTGGGCTCTGTGCCGCAGCTCTTCGGCATGGCCTTTACCTGCTGCCTTTACAAGAGCTTGAAGCTGGAACACTACTGACCGCCCCGTGCTGCTCCTCAAGCGCTGCTGCTTCGCGCCCGACTACTGATGGCCCTGGGGCCTGAGTCCCAGGATGCTGCTCCGAACCCTCTCCCCACCCTGCCAAGGAGGTGGTGTTCTCTCATGTGCCCACCCCCAGGCCACCACCGTGACCTCTGGGGACCCCCATCCTCAAGGGGAGCTTCAAGTGCCTTTCTCTCCGACCAGAGGACTGAGGTGGGGTCCTGTGGCTGCGGGGGGTGGGGGTGGGGTACTGGGTTCTGACCACAACGTTCCTCTATGCTCTTCCTTTGGGGTAGGACCCTGGGGGGTCTCAGCCAGAGGGGCTGGCTGGAGGTGAACTGGGCCGAAAGGGGCTGGCCCCCCCAGGGTGCTCCCAGACCCCCGGATACACCTCTGTGTGGTGGTGGGGGGGGTGTTCCTGGGTGGGGTCAGCTGTAGGCGAGGAGTCCCAGATGCACCTGCCACGGGTCCCCCCGCCCTGCCCGGGAAAGCAAGCAGGCCCTGTGTGTCTGCCCTCCCCAGTCAGGCCTCTGCTGCCCGAGCCCCTGCTCGGATCCCCCACCGCTCTCCCCACAGGAAAAGCCACAGGTTCACTCGTGCGGTCACCTCCCCTTCGCAGAAGCGGGGAGTTGTGGCCGGACTCACTGCTGTATCACAAATGCCTACAACTGCTCCTGCCACGTGACAGGCGCTCAATAAAAGTTTGTGGAACAAGCGAGCTCACTGTTAGCGACAGACGCGGTTCTGGTCCTCAGGGCCTTCTCCCCAGCAAGGGGGACAGAACCACCCAGCCAGTCCCACAAGGGGCCAGGAGGGCACATCCTGGGGGCCAAGGACGGACTGGACTCCAGGGCCAGGAGGCCAGTGGCAGGGACAGGTGCGCACAGGCTGCGAGCAAGAGCCTCGAATGCTGGTGTCCAAACACCATTCTGGGTTGCGTAGGATTAGGAAGGGGGTGGGGGCTCAGGACCGGGACCCGAGAGGCCTGAGCTCTGGCAGGATGGGCACTGGCATCAGGAGCCCAGGCTTAGGCTGTCTGCCCTGGGCACAGCCTCCCTTCCCACCACAGGTTTGCTCATGGGTCCCCCGTGTCAGGCATCTGGGCAGCAGGGCTGGCCCTGAAGAAGGCGCCAGAGAAAGCCGCCTCCATCTCCTAACCACAAGCTCCTGCCTTCTGCCTGCGGGAGGGCACCAGCGTTTGCCACCTCCTGTGCAGGGTGACAGCTGTGGGCTCTAGGGCTCAGGATGAGCTGGAACAGGATGGAAGCCCCTGGGAGATAGCTGTACTGTCAGGCCCACAGGATAAAATGCTGATGCCCAGGGCCCTGGGAGCCTGACCAGCTGACACCCAGCAGAGCCTCCTGGGCCCACCCTCCACCTGATGTGAGGGTCTCAGGGGTGGCAGTGGACGCTGGGTGCTCCCCTCAACCCTGCCCCCTGCAGAACATGGCGAAAGGAAGAAACCTGCTGGGCTTGGCTGGAGCCTAGAAGCTTTTGGCAGCAAGACCCTCTGGATGGGCAACAGAGACACAGCAAGCACTCTATTCAGGGCCCAGAAAATCTGGCTGTTGAGATCCCAGAGAAGTTTTGCTAGGCCTAAGGAGCACCCAGAACATGGGGGTGGGGATGCCAGTGTCCCTTGACCCCCCCGACCCAAGTGCTCTTGGCTGTGTGCGGTTTGCTGGTCCGTGAAAGCCCACACTCCAGGAACCCCCCACCCCCAGGCTGAATGGCTGCCATCTGAACAGCTCTTCCTCCCCCTGGGTGGTGAGGGCACGTCCACCCCTGAGCAGCTTTGGGCACGAGACAGGACACAGAATCCAGTGGCAGGGAGTCCCACAAAACCAGGCCAGCTGTTAGGACCTTCTAGTGGTTCTGCAAAGAACTTTACTGGATGGTTCCTCCCAGGGTGGAAGACACACAGCCGCGGGCGGTGCGAGGGCGTGCTCCATGCTGTCCACACCTCACTGGAAGAACTCTGAGCAAGACACTGGGCAAGACATGCCAGCGGGCAGGCAGGCTCCAGCGCCCTCACTTCTCCAGAGGCGCATAATTGAGCAGCTTCTCAATCAGGTCCACGTGGGCCAGCAGCATGCGACGGCAGCAGTAGCGCTTCAGGCCGAGTGCGTCCAGGGCGTCCCTGTGGGCGAGGAGAGCGGGCCGTGCTGCGTCCATCCAGGTAGTTGTGGGCACATGGAGGGCCCTGCCAGGGCTGCAGCTGTTGGGGGATCGTTCCAGCTCCCTCCACAAGTCAGGGAGGGAGACGTCTCTCCAGGACACTCTCACCCCCCCCCCCCCATCACTTTCATCTAACCCAGTTGCCTTAAAGGCTTCCAGAACATTATCCCACTGCTCCAGTGGGCACAGATGGCAAGCTGGGACAGAGCACGCCAGGTTGGGAAGTCCCTGCCGGTGGTATCTTAGCGAGGGGGTCCGTGCAGGCTACCGGCCATTCACTCACACTCTGGTCATTCCAACAGACTCATTAATACGTGGCATGAGCTCTGACCACCCCTGGCCTCCCCATTCATCTAAAACATTCGAACGACCCCCCCCGGCCCCCCCCCCCCCCCCCCCCCCCCCCCCCTCATGGCTATGTGGCCAGGAGGCTTGTTGCTTGTTCTATATCCGTGAGAGACACATGGTTCTGCAAGACGTGAGGGGGGTCTAATGACAGAGAGGAGAGCGAGCAGACGGACGGGGAGGAAGCTGAGGACTTGGGTGCCGTGACTGCCAGAGGATACCTGGAGGTCCCCAAGACACGGCGGCTTGATACCCAACTCCCCTCCTTTCCGCGGACTGCGAGGCGGGGGTGGGGGCAGTGGCAACGCTCCCGTGAGAACGCATCAGTAGAGCAGGGCTGCGAGCCCCTGCAGGGCCCGCTGCGTTCTGATAGGAGTGCCCGCCCCCCCGCCCCGCCAGGACCCGGGGACCCCGGGACTCCGTCCCGCCGCTCCCTCGCCCCCGCGCCTAGCAGCGGCCCACCCGCAGACCGGGACCCCTCGACCCCAGAGTTCCACCCCGCCCTTCAGTCCCGCAGGCCGGGCCCCCACACCCCCCGTTCCCCACGCCCCGGCCCGGCCCGGCGCCTCACCCCTCGGTGTACTCGGCCTGCAGCAGCCCCAGGTAGGCCTCCCACTTGTTGCCGACGATCTTGCCGCAGGTGAAGCAACGCACGGGTATGATCATGGCGGCGGCAGCTCAGCGCCCGCTCGGTCTGATCTCGCCGCGCTTCCGCCGCGGAGCCGGCCCCGCCTAGGGCGCGTCCATGGCTGCGGGGGGGGAGCCCCGCCCCGCCCCCTGCCTCCCCCGCCCGCCTCGCCGGCCCCGGTGCCGTCGGCGTCCGCTTCCCGCCGTGCCGAGTTCCATTCGCGCGGATCGGGGCTTTCGGGGCCCGCGCGGCCGCGGCAGGAGCAGGCGGGACCCCCCCCGTCCATCTCTTTGGTACGTCCCGGACTACGGCGTCCCTAGAGGGCCCTAAAGGCCCCGACGGCGGCGGTTCGCCTTCCTCGTGTCCGCATGACTGACAGCTGCGCGGCGGGCTCACCGAGCGCAGGTACGGCGTCCGCGCGCGGGATGGGGCCAGGGCCGCGCCCCCCGCAGCCCCCCAGCCGGGTCCGGGAGCCGGGCCGGGCCCGAGCCGAGTTGAGCTGACCGGGCGCGGAGTTGGGGCCCCGAGCCGAGCCGCAGCAACAGGTGGCGGGGCCGGGGGCGCGGCGACCCGTGCGGCGGGGGTGGGGGGCAGAGACGGGCTGGCCCGCGGCCGGCGCGGACCCACCGGGGCGGGCGGACACGCACGCGCCTTCCCGCCGCCGCTGCCCGCGCGCGCCCGGGGGTCTCTGCCGCAGAGTTCGGCCGTCCCGTTCTCCGCCGTGGCCTGGCCCGCTCGCCCGCACCGTGTCGCCCCCGGCCCGGCAGTGACCGGTAGCTCCTCTCCCCGCGGCGCCGCGGCGATCCGCTTCGGCCGGCGTCCCTCCTCTCTTCCTCCCGAGGAAGGGTCTAGGAGGGGGTGCGGGATGGGTCTGCACCCACCTGGGGCCAGGCAGCGCTGGGTAGCCTCTGATCTGCGGACGTCGGACCTCTGAGGACTCGGAGAAGGGGAGACCTGAGAGGGCGGTGCTGGAGGGCGTCGTGGAAGAGGTGCCTTTTCAGCTGAACTTGAAAAGCACCATTTCAACGGGGTGAGCCTGAGTGTGTGTAAGGGAGTGGACTGATCCTGGCAAAGAGAACCCTTGGTCAGAGGCCTGGAGGCTATACCTGCCGGGCAGCTCAAGGCCACAGGTTTGTGCTACGACCAGAGTAGGTGGTGGAGCTAGGGGTGAAGGGGCAGGAGCCACAGAGGATTTCGAGGAAGGTGAAGCTGTGTCTCTGGAAATGGGGTGAGGTGAGCTCTGCGATCTTGGGGCTGGAGATGGGGAAGAGCAGTGTGCAGTTAGAGGCAGGGAAAGCTCCCTGGAGGAGGTGAACTTTTGGGCTGTGGGGGATGGATGTGCCACTGGGTGGCTCCTGTGATTTAGGTGTGTGGGGGGGGTGGGGGGCTTGTTGGGGCTTGTCGGGTCCCTGGCCTGGGGCGTCGGATCTCTGGCAGGGGGGAGTAGGGCCTGTGCTGAGTCCCAGGCATCAGTAACTGCTCTCTCATGGGTGGGTGATGGATTCTGGCCTTAGCTGAGGGGCAGGGGGTGGAGGGTCCCCTGGGGCCTGGGTGGGGCTGCCCAGTGCATTTGTCATCTCGCACGCTGCCACGTGCGGAGCCACGAGTGAGGCCACTTCCCTTCCCCGCTCCCCCCCACCCCCGCCCCACTGGACGCACATCCTGTCCCTGGACAGAGGGACAGGATCGGGGGGCTTTGAGTCACAGTGGCCTGGGGACAGACCCAGGCTCAGCTGCAGAGGCTGCTGGCAACTGTGGAGGTGAGGGACACAGAGGAAGGGATCCAGGCTTTGGCTGGGTGGGCCTTGGGGAGCTGGTTGGGGGTGGAAGGCTTCCTGGAGGAGGAGCCCAGGGCCTGCCCCACCCATGCTCCTGCCCGAGCAGTTGTTTACTCTGAAAGAGTGAGGGGAATGAGCCTCCCGCCCTGATCCTGGCTAGAGCCAAGTTGACATTCCTGGAATTCTGAGAACTGTGTGTAGTTTTGGGGGCGGTGGTGGCCTCCGCTTCCCGGGCTCCTCCCTCCAGCTCTCTGACTTCCCAGGAGAGGCCATGGGGAGCATCATGGCTGCCCCACCTTAGCCCGCATGTGTGCCTTCACCAGCGGTGTTCACGGAGGCCCCTTCGGGCGTTCGGGCGTCTGGTCCTGTCGTCTGTCTCTACTCTGCCTTGGCTCAGCCCCGACCAGGGGACCCTGGGGAGCCTCAGAGGTCAGCCCTGCCCCCTGCCCCCGGTGACCACGTTCCTCTGTGTGTGTGTTGGGGGAGTAGCTGGCCACGGGGCAGGCTCTGCTCGGGGTGGCAGGAGGGAGCCGTGGGGGCCTAAGGCGCTGGAGGGGGTGGGGGGCCTCGCCTGCCTGCAGGGGAGGGGGCGCTCGCTTCTCCTCTCGGCCTGCAGTGTCAGCACAGATGTGGCCCAGGCCTCCGGCCAGAGAGAGCGCCAGTTTCTTGAGAATGGGGTATCCTGTCCCCAGTGGTGGAGGCATAGTGGGGGTGGGAGGGCCGAGCTCACATGTGGTTGGGAACCCGTGAGCCACATTTCCTGCCAGAAGAGGGTCACTGCAGGGCAGCCCGGGACGAGGAGAGATCAGCGGTTGAAGTTGTTGCTGCCGAGAGGCTCTGGCCCAGAGCGGTGCCCTGCAAACAGGCCGGCCTGGCCTGGGAGTCTGCTGACCCTGCTCGCTGGTCCTGGCATCAGTTTCTCCATCTGTAAAGTGGGTGGCACCAGAAGCTGCCCAGCTGGAGGGTGGAGATGCTGGCTTTGCAGGCCTGGCCCCTGACCCCTCCTGTTTGGGTGCATGTGTGTGCATACAGGGTGTGCAGGGTGGGGTGGTCCCGTGAACATACATGCTCAGATGCCACCCCAGGGCCAGACAGGCCGCTTGCCTGCTGTATCCACACTAGCCCTTGGCCCTGGGGGCTCAGGGGTCGTGAGAGGTGCTGTTTGAAGCTGTGCTTGAGGCTGGACTGGCCTTAAGCTGACCACCCTCTGGACAAGCCTGTGTGCCGGCCGGGCTCCCCGAGGGGCGCACACACTTGGTTACCCGAGGCAGGAGGCTCCCAGTGCCTGGGAGGTGGAAATGCGGCCCCCTCAGGGTCCTAATTGTGTCCCCTCCGCCACCACCTCCAGCAGAGACATACCTGGGGGGGGGGAGCAGAGGTGTTGGGGGAAGACCCTCAGGTTGGGGTTGGCCTTGCTGGGCCTGGGAGACTCTGAAGGCCCCTTGGTGGCCTCTTCGCAGGGACCCCTCTCCCAGAGCTGGTGCCGGAGCCCCCTGGAGGAGGCTGCCGTTGGGGTGCGGGGAGGTGGCCTTGCCTGGGCTCTGTGCGGGGAGGGTGTGCAAGGTGGGGGTCGGGTGGGCGTCGGGCTGGCCGGGCGGGGCCAGCATAGGACTGTTTGTGGGGGCCTCCGGGCTCCTGCAAGTCGCCTCCGAGCCTGCTCGGCCGGGGGCCCCGGGTAGGCTGGCGGCTCTGCTCTGCCTCCGATCTGCCTCTCAGCCGCTGGGGTCGGGCTGGGCCACCTTCTCTGTTTCAGCTTTTGGGGTGGTTCCTCTTTGCGTGGGACCTTGGTTGGCCGGGTAGGTGCCCGTGGCCTTCTCATGGCCTGGGCTCCCTTGGGGTGCCCTGCTTGCTCCCCAGCCTGGAGCCCTGGAGAGTCGGAAGGCCCAGCCCAGGACGGCGGGTGTGCTTGTCTGGGGCTCTCCCTCGCCCTGCCCTTGCTGCAGGTGCGGTCCCCGGGGGACGCAGCCGTGTCACCCCTGCATCCAGAGGAAGCCCAGAGCAGGGGAGAGGGAGGAAGGCTTCCTAGAGGTGGAGGCTGGGCCTGCAGAGGGACGGAGACAGCTCCGGTCCTCTTCAGCCCCTGCACCCTCTGCGCCAACTGCAGGCTCCCGTCTGGGCCGCCCTACATGGGAGTGGGGGGCTCTGGACTCCTGGAGGGGCACTGTGGCTTCATTCATGGGGGTCCCAGGGCTGCCTTGGGGGTCAGGGCGGGAGTGCGGCTGTGCAGTGGTCTCATCCAGCCTCAGCTTTGCGTTGGCCACGGGACTTCCTCACGTACGGGGCCCAGGAGGGTTGGGGGCCACTGGTGGATCTGCCTTTCCCGTGCCCCCGCCCAGGTGCCGAGGTCTGGGGCTGTTGGGGGCGCGGTAGGGTATGATACCTGGATTTTAGCTTCTAGAATGTTGCTGTGGGCTTTGGGCCCCATCGCGTTTGGGAGGGGGCTCGTCAAGGCAAGTGGGTGAGGTGTGCCCCCCGCATTGCCCGTGCTGCCCCACCAGGCCTGAAGCCCCTCCCGGGACGCTTCATCCCTGGGCACAGGTGAACCCTCTCTCCACTGAGGTTCTGGGGAGCACACGGGGAGGAGTGGGCCCGGTCTGCGCAGCGGCCCCTCACCAGCCCCAGGCACAGGTCTGGGCGGGCTGGCGGGCAGTGGGCGGCCCACAGGAGATGGGCGAGAGAGAGTGGACGCCTGCCCGGTGCAGCCCCCCACCCCCGGGCTGCCGAGAAGACCACCTGCCCCGCCCCCAGGCTGCAAGAGCACTTGGTCTGAGGAGGGAGAATTGGGGGGCCTGGCTGGGATGCCCTCAGAACTGCCCCCCCATGTGAGCTTGGAGCCCCCTCCTCAAAACCCTGGCTGGTGGGGGAGGACGGGACCCTCCCGTGAATGCTGATGGCAGATGAACGGGCCTGGTGAGTCATCCCCAGCTGGCTCTGTGGGGAGGGAGTGAGGTTGGGGGCTCAGGGCACATATCTGCCCTGAGCCAAGGAACGGGTGGGGTGCAGAGCGCCTTGGGGGAGGTGGACACCGAAGGCTGACCTCTAGGGGGTGGGACAGCACGCCATGGCCTGTGTTGTGCGAGAGTTCCCACTTCTGAGCACGTGCGTCCTCTGCACGCATGGCCCCACGCGTGCTGTGTGCAAGCCTGCATCTCGGGACGCGTGACCCCCGCCCCCCAGCTGCCCTCTCCTGCCCCTGCAGGGACCTGGTCCTGAGTGGAGGGCTGCTCCTCACCCCCCAGGAGCCTGTCCTGTCTCGGGAGCCTCCGCCCTGGTCTCCAGCGTGGCCGCGCTCCCTTCCCCCGGGCTGCAGCCGCCTTGGCTGTATTGAGCACGGGCCCAGCTGCAGAGGAGCCGAGCAGCACCTGGCTTCGCTGCGGCAAGCCCAGGTAAGTCCCAGTCCGGCCGGGCAGTAGGGGGGCCTCGTGGGGCGGACGTTGTGGGGGACTGCGACAGCGACAGCTGAGTGAGACGGTGAGAAGGAGCTGAGTGCACCCTCGATGCTGGGACCCAGCGTGGGAACCCAGGCCGACTCCCCGTTCTGGCCCCTCCCTGCCCCACTCCAGTGTGATGGGGGTGGAGAGGTGAGCCCTGGGCTCCATGGGGAGTCCCGCTGTCACTGCTGTCCCCCCCCCACAGCTTCTTTGAGGAGGACAAGGCTGACGAGCTGGCAGCACGTTTATTTCAGCCCCTGGAGGTCCAGCTGTGCCCCCCTGCTTGTATCTAGTCCTGGCCTGCAGGGGTGCTGTATGGGGGCGGGTGGTACCCGTGTGGGGGTCACGGCCGGGTCCTCCCTTGGCCCTCCTGTGCCCACAAAGACATTCTGAACACCCAGTCCCACACGTGGACATTCCTGGGTTTCCACCCTCGACTCGGGCTGCGGGGCCAAGGGGGTGCTGGGGTCGCCAGGCTCATCGCCTGCCACTTGCTCCCTGATTTCTCTAGGGCCTGGGTTGGGGCCTCTACCACCTGCTTCTCCACAGCACCTGGGGCCCAGACATACCAAGGACCTCTGGGAGGAAAGAGTGCGGGGGAGAAGGGCCGTGGGAAACCCTGGGCCGGACCCTGGGGCGTCCCCACTCCCTGCCAGCGCCGCTCTGGGGGTGGAGCTGCAGTTCTTGGAGGAGCCCTCAGGGGCCTCGGGGCCCGGCGAGGCTGCCAGACCTCACTGGGTCCACAGCCCCCCATACAGTCCTGTCTGGCTGGTGCACAGCCCCCCAGACCTGCTGTCCCCACACCATTCAGTCTCTGATTTGTCACCTTGTCAGTGTCACCCCCCCCCCCCCCATGCTACTCGACTCTCAGGGACCTTGAACCAGTGCTTCCCTCTCTGGACTGCAGTTTCTGGGACTGTGCCCTTGGGGCGGCCCTGCCAGTGGGCTCCCATGGCGACCTGGTAGGCTTTGACTGCAGCCCCGAGTCCAAGGTGCAGGGCACACCCCCGGCCCAGAGCCCCGAGAGGAGCGGCCTCGGCTCTTTTGTGGCCTCTGGGCTGCAGGCCCAGGGTCAGACAGGGAGGCATAGGGCTTACGTGCTGTGTCCCCTCAACACCAGGGGGCCCCAGACACTGCCTCCACCAATGGGGTGAGTCATGGGGGCGCAGCTGGGGGGGCCGCTGTCCCCAGCTGTGATTGTGGGTATGTGTGCGTACCTCTAGACTGTTCCAGGTGCACGTGTCTGTATACCAACACGTGTGCACACCAGCAGTACAAGGGGCACTAGTACGTGTTCCAGGGTGCGTGTATGCGAGTTACCCCGGGATTCTGTGACTCGGCTTGAGTCCAGGTCTGCATGTGAGTGTGAGGTGTATGGAGGTCTGACTTCCAGCCCAGGCTGGTGCAAAGTGAAATGTGAGGCCCTTTCAGAAATGACCAGGAATGCCAAGACAGTGGCAGCAGGGCATCGGAGCAGTGGGGGGGGGGGGGGCTCCAGGGGAGGGGGTCTGCCCCCCTTCAGCCCACCCTGGCTGGGTGGAACGAGCAAGGTGCTGTGGGAGTTAAGATCTGCGCCTGTTTTCAGGTGCCCAGTGATCACCATGCCCTGTTGTGTGTCCGCGCCCCTGTCTGAAGTCTGAGAGCCTCCCCACATTTCTTGCAGAGTGACCTGCCCTCCTGGGCGCCCTCCCCACATGCCCTCCCTTCTCCCAGCCCCTCTCAAGGGCTCGCCCTTTAAACTGCGCCTCTGCCTCCTCTGCCAGCAAGATCCCCCTCACCCCCAGGTTGGGTACCCCTGGCTGATTCCCGTCCAGATGGACCCCTCTCCCCATCCTGGCTGCCGGGGCTTTGAGGCCCCCGCGTGGTGGTCACCAGCCCAGGCTGGAGGTGACGGATGCTGCTCGGAGGAAGCGCACCCCGGGGCGTGCTCCGGGCTACACTGTGAGGCGCTCTCTCGCTCCGGGCGGGGAATCAAAGTCGAAGCCGCCCCAGGTCACCACCAGAAAGCAACTGGGTCATCCCTTCGTTTGCGGGGCGCTCGTGCATGCCGAGTGCGGCCGCAGGGCTCCACGCCCGGCGGGAGGCTGGGGGCCTCGTTCCCGGGGCTCCGCGCCGCCTGGCCCTCGGCCCTGCCCTTCCAGAGCATCCTCCTCCCGGGCCCGGGGACGCGGAGAGCCCGGGGCGCCAGCACGGACGGAGCTGCCGGGAACGGGGGCGGGGCGGGATCGTCGCCCCGGGGCTGCGATTGGCCGCCGCCCGCGGAGCAGCAGGATTTGCCGGGCGGTTCGGCCTGGTGGGGGGCGGAGGGAGGGGGTCCGCGGGGCGGGGCGGGGCGGACGGGAACGGGGCTGGGGCCCGGGGCGCGGGGCGGGACGGCGAGGAGGGGAGGGGTCCTCGGGGGCGGGGCCGGCGCGGATTGGCGGGCGCGCGGCGCGGGGCGCGGGGCCGGGGCCGGGGCTGCGGCGCGGGGGTCGGGCAGGTGTCGGCGGCCGCCGCCGGGGCGGAGGGGAGCTGCGCGCCCGGCTGCCGCCGCGGGGCCGGGCCGGGGGTCCGGGGAGGATGCGGCGTTGCGGGGCGCGGGGCGCGGGGCGCTGAGCCCGGCGGCGGCCCCGGCGCGATGCGCCGCTCGAGCACGGACGAGTCCACCTACCGGCGCAGCCCGTCGCCGGAGGGCAGGGGGCCCGGCTGCGCGCGCGGGGGCCCCTTCCGGCGCTACAGCGGCCTGTGCGGGCGCGCGGGCGCCGGGGGCGCGGGGGGCGCCGGGGCCGGCGCGGACGGCGGCCCCTTCTTCGGCCTGCACGCCCGCCCCGGCCCCAAGGCGGCCCAGGCGCGCTACACGTCGCCCAAGGGCAACAAGTACGTGGTCTTCTACCTGGACCTCTCCTTCATCTTCCTCCTAGAGCTGAAGCGCTGCAGCATGGCGCGCGGCTGCCTCCAGGGCGTCAAGTTCCTCATGTTCGCCTTCAACCTGCTCTTCTGGGTGAGTGGCCGCCGGCCCGCCGTTGGCGGAGGAACGACGGAGAATCCGGAGAATCCCCTGCTCGGGCAGGGGTGGGGACGGGGCACCAGGACGTAGACGGGCGGGGGGGGGGGGGTGCCCGGGGTCGCTGCTCCGGGCGGGGGCCAGGCGGACCGGCCCTTGGGGAGGTCTTCCGGCGCCGCGGGGCCGTGACCGAGGCTCTGCGCCCTGGGCGGCCCGGCCCGCGCCCTGTCCCCCCTTCCTGACCCCGCACCTGCGCGCCCGACGCTCCACCCGCTGGTGCCGGGGTTCGAATGCCGGAGGTGGCCCGAGGTGGCCGGCGGTGCGCTGGAACTCCGGGCTCCCGTCCCGTCCCCCCCTCCTCTCCCGTCCCCTCCCCTCCTGTCCCCTCCCCTCTCTCCCCTCCCTCCCCCCGTCTCTCCCCTCCCCTCCTCCTGCGCAGCCGGCCGGCGCACTTTCTTGGACCCCCTCTCCCTCCCAGTGGAGTAACCCACCAGGCCTAAGGACTGTGGTCCCCCCCATCTCTGCAGGCACTGTGGGGAGGGAGAGGGTGTGTGTGCACCCCAGTGAGCTCCCTGGCTGGGGGGTGACACTGAGCAGCAGGGTGTTGGGCCACCCACCCTGAGTGCTGGGGAGATGTCCCTGGCTCTCCCTCCCACATGCTGTGCACGCGCGGGCTGGTGCCCTAACTTCTGGATGGGTTGGGTTTGTTCAGATGGGATGTGGGGGTCCAGGGTCAGAGGTGCTGGTACTCCAGGGCGACCCCATCCTCCTCTAGACGAGGGTAGGGGTGGGGACGATGACGGAGATGACAAAATTGCCACCCCGCCCCAACCCCGTAACTGCTGGGAGCATGGCGGGCTCTGGCTGTGACCGGTGTCGGGCTGGGCTGTGGGAGGCTCGGTGGAGAGCGGTGCCAAGGTCACTCTCTGCTCCATCGTGAATTCTCGAGCCAACCCTCTTTCCCACAGTTCGGAGGAAGGGGGTGTGGCTTTAGCTGCAGACTGGACCCCGAGAGGAGACTGTCCTGCACACCCTCATTTGGATGCAGTCCCGTTAAGTCCAAATGCCCAGAATCCCGGGTCAGCCCTTCTGCACCTCCCTTGCATCCTGGGCTGTAGTTTTCTTTTCCCAGCTTGTGGAGGGGCCGCCAGCCTGGGCTGCCTGCGGCTGGGACCCAGATGCTGCTTCCGGAGCTGGCCATCCCAACAGTTCTCCCTCTACAGGGGGCTCCTGGAGGGATGAGGCCCAAGTGTGGGGAGAAGGACCCTGAGGCCCGCAGCCAGGAAGGCGGGGTTGGCGGCTGGAGCCCGGGCCCAGGCGTGTGAAGGAGGAGCATCCCTGTGCGGGACGGTGACCAGCTGCAGTGGGCGCCTGTGTGGGGTGGCTGACGGGAGACATGGGGGTGACCAGACCTGACCACGGTGACGGCTTAGGTGGTGGGTTGACTGTGGCAGGGGGGCGGGGAGGAGGCAGGCAGAGGGCGTAGTGGATGGTCCCGTCCAGGAGGTAGGCAGGACTCGGCTTCGTCCCTGACCTGCCGTCCTCGGTGGTCTGAGAGCGGCCCACCCTGACCGGTCCCCAGGCAGACCTGGTGCCTGCTGCTGGCACGTGCCCTCCCTGTCCCAGCCTGGCGGCCAGCCGGGGTTCCGGGATCAGTGGGCGTGCCCACACCTGGGAGGCACCCAAGGCGAGGCGTGGTGAGAACAGTCAGGAGTCTGGGCCCCTGGGCAGGTGCCACGCGAGTGCAGGCGGCCAGAGGCTAGAGCACCCCTTCCCTGGGACCCCAGCTTCTTTGCTACCTGAGGGTGCTGGCCCCTCAGACCACTTCCCACTGTCACTGGGAGACCAGGGGACGGACCACACCCTCACCCACAGGAGCTCACTGAAGGGTCAGGGCTCAGGTAGTAGGAGGGGCGTCCCGGGGGCAGGACCCCACCTGTGCCAGTCCCGCCCCACCCTGCAGAGCTTGGGGATGGGTAGGGGCTGGCTCAGGAGATCCTTGACTTTTCCCTAAGCGTCTTGTTTACGTTCCCTATTTGATGGGTTCTCCTTGGGGACTCCTGTCTGGGTCTGGGGGGCAGGACTGAGGCCTCCAGCCTTGGGTCCTTGCGGGGCCGTAGGGAGTCATCGCCTGTCGGTCCCGGTCCTGCGCAGCCTGGCTGGGTTGTCAGCTTGTCTCAGGGAAAGAAACAGTCCTGCCTGTTGTCACCGGTGCCTGGAGCTGGGGTGCCCTGAGAGAGAGGAGCTGGGAAGACACAGGTGACCCTCAGAGGAGGGGAGGGGCGGAGGTGCTGGTGGTGAGGGCCCCTGTCCAGCCTCCCTGCAGCAGATGGGGCCTTCAGCGGGCACAGGGAGCGCCTCTGAGTCCTGCACAGAGACCCTAAAATGGGGCCGGGGGCTGTCTTGTGAGCCCCGTCCTTCGGTACCTGTGATGCCGGTCACAGGGTGAGGGTTTGGGGGCTATGTAGCCCCTGGGGGGGGTGCCTGCGTTCAGGCCTCCACCATGACACAGGTAGAGGCAGGGGCCCCAGGGGCTGGGGCAGAGGAAAGGTTTCCTGCCTCTTCCCTGCCCTGGGTCAGCGCTCGGGGCTCCCCCGTGGGCAGTCCCTGAGGCCCCAGTGGTTCTGGGGAGGGACCTGGGGGAGGCAGGGCTGAGCTCAGCAAGGTAAGGGTGCTTCTGGGTCCCCCCAGTCAGGGGCCGCACCTGGGCTTCAGCCTTTCGGCTCAGCTCGTCCCAAATTTGGATCAGCCAAGCTGAGGGCCCCTCCTCTGCCGCTCCCTGTACTCGTGCTCAGGGCCCCTCGGCATGGCTGGCGTGGGGGTCGGAGTCCTGCCTGCCGTTTTCTGCTGCCCAGGCCACCACAGGACTGTGGGTAAGGCCAGCCTCCCTAGGGCCTCATTTGTCACCAGCACATGTGGGCCCGTGAGTTTTCCCCTTTGATGAGCCGCAGGTGACATCCACGTGGGTGGCCTGGTCTGCTGTCACCGGCCTTTGGCAAGGCCCCTGAGACTGGTGGAGGAGGGGACCCGTGGTGGCAGGCGCTCTGAAGAGCCGGGGGCCGTGACCCCCCCTCTGCAGCTGGGGGAACACACGTGCTTGAGGTCACAGCCCTCAGACCCTGTGCCTCCCTTGGCTCCGGCCTCCTGGTGGTGCTGGGGGCGTCCCCTGTCCTGGCTCCTGTTTCTTTCTGCGACAGGGCCGGGCAGGGGTGTCCCGCTGCCTTCGGGCTGCAATTAGGGGTAGGCGGGCAGCCTTGTGACGGGCAGAGGGAGGGAGGGCAGGCAGATCCTGTGATGGGAGTAGGTGCTGGGGGAGGGGGTGCTTGACCGCCCCAGTCCAGGCTGGGGTCAGGATGCTCTCGTCCCTGCGGCGGCAGCTGGAGGGTCAGAGGGGGACCTGGGGCCCGGGGTGTGGATCTGCTCGGGGGGGGCAGGCGCCAGTTCTCTGGGTCCCTCTGCGCAGACGGAGGCCTCCCCGCCCCGGTGCGGACGGCAGGCGCGCACGCTGTGAGCAGCAGCCCGTTTCCCAGTAGAGGCCCTGCTGCTGGAGGCCGCGTGTGTCTGTCGGGGGGGCTGGCGGCTCCCCTGAGAGGTTTGGGGCGGCAGCAGTCAGTTGGGGGCCCTGCCTGCCCCGCTGTGGGATCCGGGCAGCGCCAGCTCTATGCCGGGTGCTTCTTGGGCCTGTCCACCCAGTGACCCAGGCTCTGTGAGTGTCCCTGGAGTCCAGCCTGCCGGGAGGAAGGGGAGGGGAGAGGCCGGGCCTCTCTGGACAGAACCTCCTACGTGTAAAGCAGAGGTGGAGTGGGCTCTGTCTGGGGCTGAGATGTGGCTCGTTAAGGGCTGGAGCGGGTCGTGGAGGTCAGGAGGTCCATGCAGCGGCCGGGGGCCCTGTCCTTGCTGTACCCCGCCATCCGCAGCTCTGGTCCTGTCTTTCTACCTGCGGTGTGGCGACTTGTCCCCCCCCCCCCCAACCGCTGCCCCAGGTACCTGGCGATGGCCTCTCGCTCCCCCTTCCCGCAAGCAGCGCTGTTATGTTTTTTTTTTCTTTTTTAAATTTAATTTGATTAATATATTTTTAAAAGTTTATTTATTTTTGAGAGAGAAACAGAGACAGCGGGAGCAGGGGAGGGGCAGAGAGAGAGGGGGAGAGAGAGAGAATCCCAAGCAGGCTCCATGCTGTCAGCACAGAGACCAATGTGGGGCCTGAACCCATGAAACCCTGAGGTCACGACCTGAGCCAAAACCAAGGGACGCCTAACTGACTGAAGCACCCAGGTGCCTCTTAATTGATAACTGATTTTTTAAAGACTTAAAAAAAATTTTTTTTAATGTTTTATTTATTTCTGAGAGCGAGAGACAGCATGAGCAGGGGAGGGTCAGAGAGAGAGGGAGACACAGGATCCGAAGCAGCTCCAGGCCCTGAGCTGTCAGCACAGAGCCCGACGCGGGGCTCAAACCCATGAACCGTGAGATCATGACCTGAGCCGAAGTCGGATGCTCAACCGACTGAGCCCCCCAGGCGCCCCTAAGTTTATCTATTTTAAGAGAGAGAGAATGAGAATCCCAAGCGGGATCCACGCTGTCAGCACAGAGCCTGACCTGGGGTTTGAACTCAACAGTGAAATCATCACCTGAGTTGAAATCGAGTAGGAAGCTTAACCGACTGAGCCCCCAGGCGCCCCTAGATTTTAGTTTTACATAATCTTTACACCCCACGTGGCTCTCAAACTCACATCCCCGAGGCCAAGAGCCCACGCTCCACCGACCGAGCCCCCGGATGCCCCTCTGAGGTCCAGTAAGCGGCTTCTCACCATGGAGGGTGGGCTTGGACCTCCCTGAAGCCTCCAGCCAGGGCCGTTCTGCTCCCCTTCCCGCCCCCTCCTCCTTGGACACTGGCTTCAGAGGGTCCCTGGGCCATGTGGCTGGCTCCCCGACGGGCGGGGATGGGGCTTCCGGGGCTGGGGATGAGCGAGTGGGGCTTGCTGCTGTTTAAGAAAATTGATTGCAGGCGACTGCACGGATTTAAAGTGAGTGGCCTGCTGAGTTTCCACCCAGATAACTGTCTCCGGCCAATGTAGGGAGCACGTCTGTGAGCCTGGAATGTGCCCCAGGCCCCTTCACCCTGTGCCCCTGACTCCTGTCCTGGGCAGCTGCAGGCCGGGGTTCCAGCACGGTGCACACAGTTCGTACAGATGGGGTGCCCCCCTGGCTGCTCTTGGCCTGGAGTAGTGAGACACCTTGCCACGGCCCATGTCCACCCCAAGGCTGTGCCAGCTGCCAGGCGAGGGGCTTCCAGGCACGGGCTTGGCCCCTGTGGGCACCCAGGCCTCCGCTGTGCTCCGAGGACGTGGCCAGCTGGCCTGCCATCTGCTGGCCGGAGGGGCAGTGGCAGCGGGCCACCTGACACCTGTCCCTTCATTGGCCTGGAGGGGGCGGCAGCTCTGACCACGTGGTCCCTGTACCCCCAGCCCTGGGCCAAACTGAAGACTGCAGACGAGGGAAGGGACCTCAGGATCGGGGAGCAGGAGCCGGGCACTGGGCTGGGGCCGGTGACCGGGGAGGGCACGAGACGGGGCATGTGCTCGAGGCGCATGGGAGGGAGTCAGGGAGGCCATGGCGGCGGTGGGGCTGGGCTCCCTCTCAGGCTGTCCCGGGCTCTGCTCCTGGGGCCCGGCTGGCGGCTGCAGCTGCTTTTGTCTGGCTGGGGCGGAGAGTCCGGCCAGTGCCCCAGGCGGCGAGTGTGGCTGGACATCTGTAGGGTCGGGGTGGGGTCCTGGCCTCCCAGGACCTCAGCCCCCCCCGCCCCGTGTTTGACGTTCTGTGTCTGAGTCTAACGGGGCTTGTTTCTTCCTGCACTTGGAGGCTGTAATTTTCCTGCCAAAATGTTTTAAAAGCTGCATATGCAGAAACATTTTCAAAATTATAATGTTATTAGCTGTGTGTGTGCATTCTGTTATGTGTGCATCTGAGTTTCTAGTGACTGGTCTACGTGAACACGGAGGGCCTTGGAGCTTTGGGGACGACAGATCAGGTGACACGGTGATGGTGAGGGTGTCTGTGACAGTGTGTGTGTGTGACACAGTGACAGTGACGGTGTCTGACAGTGTGCATGTGATACAGTGATGGTGAGGGTGTCTGTGACAGTGTGAGTGTGACACAGTGATGGCGAGGGTCTCTGTGTGACAGTGACAGTGAGGGTGTCTGACAGCATGCTGTGTGACACAGTGACGGTGAGGGTGTCTGTGACTGTGTGACACAGTGACGGTGAGGGTGTCTGTGACAGTGTGCGTGTGACACAGTGACGGTGAGGGTGTCTGTGTGACACAGTGACGGTGAGGGTGTCTGTGACAGCATGCTGTGTGACAGTGACGGTGAGGGTGTCTGTGACAGCATGGGCTCTGTGTGTCACTGTGTGGGTCTCTCCTGCCGTCTCAGAGTGGAGAGGTAGGGACGTTTTATGGCCTTAATTAAGGAATTCCGTTTCCAGCAGGGCTGGGTGTGGGGACCCCTCCACCTCACCCCACCCTGGGGTCCCCGGGGACCCAGACTGTCCCTCCTCCACAGGCGCCTGTTCGTGATGCCCTCCCCACACGTGTCCCCGTGGGGCGAGGGTGCTCAGATGGGCTCCTTTTCCTGCTGACAGGAGACATCCGCCGGTGTCCTTGAAGGCAGGCAGTCGGGTTGTAAAGCACAGAAAAACAGTTCTGTCCCCTGCCCGGGGACCTGCCACACGGACCACCCACAGCCCTGGGGGCTCAGCTCAGAGATGGGAGTCCCTCGAAGTGGGGGCTGCTGGGTTCAGGAGGGGACAAGCTGGTGTGAGGCCTGGAGATGGCAGACATTATGTCCCCTCTAGGGGGAGGTGGCCTGCCCTCACACCCTCCCTGACCCAGGCCCCTGCCCAGTCACCTCCCTCGGTGGCCCCAGCTTCGACCTTCCCCCGGGGCTTTGGGGATCCCGGACGCCTGGGGGACGCTGTGGGGACGAGGTGTTGGCTGTCCCGACAGGCATGGGGTAGGGGCTCTGGAAAGCTGCTCAGCTCCGTTTCTCATCTGCAAGTGGGGTGGGAGGCCCAGAGGTGCCAGGGCCTGTCCAGCCTCTTCTGTGCCCCATGATGCCGAGTGGTGCCTGGCACAGGTGGGTGTGGGGTGCCCAGTAGTGCTGGGTGTTCCCTCTGTGGCCTCGCCTGAGGCCAGCACCGTGGCTCGGAGCCTGCCTGCACCCCATGCCCGATGGGATGGGAAGTCATGCCCACTGTGTCGGTGGGTTGCACACGCATCCCCATAAAGCCAGCAGACCCCGTCCTGCCCCGTCCTCCGGAGCTGTGCCCCCCCCCCCCGCAGGCAGCTGGCTCCTCACATGAGGCACACACCCAGGCATAGGGGAGCCCCTCCTCTGGGCGGGTCCCCGGCTGCCCTCCCACCTCTGAGCCTCTGGGCAGCCTCCCCTGGCCCCCTGGCCTCTGGCACCTGGTCATGTCCCCGGGTTTGATCACGGCACCGTGCTGGCCTCACGGCTGCAGATCCGGGGCACAGGCAGAGGTCACCGTCCGTGGTGGGCCCTCTGGGAACCTCCAGGGCCATGCGGTCAGTGTCAGGGGCAGGTCAGCCCCTGCACCGGGTTCCCCAAGCCTGGTACCCAGAAGCACAGGCCACCCCGTCCCTGCCTCTTTCCCGAGCCGCAGGCCCCCCTTGCTCTGGGAGGGGCGCAGACAAGCAGGATGGCCCTGTCCTGAGTCAGCAGCGTCCAGAGCCGCGTCGCTTAGTTTCTAAGTTCCTGCTTCTGTCGAAGGTGCCAAGAGGGCAGCGGGGGCGGGGCGGGGGTTCAGAGCGGCCCCGCACGCTCACCGTGTGCTGACCGGCCCCCCAGGGATGGTGGTGGGCATGTTGGCCCCGGGTGAGGCCCACGGGATCCCCTCCCCTGTGATGCCGTCTCCCGCCAGCCCGGCCTACTGTGCAGGGTGCACAGGCCCCAGAGTTGTGGCGGGAATGCCGTGCTGGCCCCACCCCCGCCCCTGGGGGAGGCTGGCCTGCTGGTGGGGGTGAGGCCTCCGTGGGCAGTGGTCTCAGAGCCCGTGGGGCCTGCTGAGTCACGGGGCCCCTGCAAGGCTCGGGGAGGCGCTGTGCCCAGGTGGCCCTGGCTCCCCTTGGCTCTGCCTCTGACCGACCGGGCAGGTGGTTCATTGCTCAGCCTCAGTTTACTTGTCTAGGCAGTGGGGTGGGAGTCTGGCCATCTAGGCTCAAGAAGCCCGTGCGGGGTGTGCAGGGTGGGTGCCGTATACCCCGGAGTCCGCGGCCCAGCTGGTCCTGGGCATTTAGGGTGACCGCTGCGGGGACTGGCCATCATGCCCAGGAGCGTGCCGGCCGCTGAGGCTGCGGCGGCCGGGCCAGATGCTGAGGTCGCCGGCCCCTCCCGGAGCCTGCAGCCACGGGTCTCCAAGGGGCCTCACTGAAGCCCAGGTTCCGTCAGCGTTTGTGGGGCCACCGGCCCCCAGCCTGCACCCGGGAGCGCCTTCTCCCCTGCCCCCCTGAGAGCACCCATGCAGGGCCGGGGCCTCTCCCTTCTCCTCCCCTTCCTGTCCTCGTGCTTGTGTGATAAGAGCAGGTGTGACGTGCCGTCAACGCCCCAGTGGTTGAGAGGGAGGGGCGGCCAGGGCCCGGCTCCCTGCCGGGAGCACCTGCGGGGCCCGTGGGGAGGAGGTTTAGGATGAGGGAGCGTGCGGTCTGGCAGGGTCCGCAGGGCTGGTCTCCCTGACTACCCAGGTCCGCAGAGGCTGTGGGGGGCGGGAGGGGGTGCTTCCTGGAGGGGTGGTGCTCGGGGGGGCCCCGGGGCCCCCTGCCCAGGCTGCCTCGCCAGGCGCGTTGGGACAGAGTACCCCCACCGCCACAGGTGGGGGACCTGGGGGTCCCTATCACGGACGCCGTAGGTTGGGGGTGTGTCTCGGGAGGGCAGGCCGGGCGCTGGGAGGTCGGCAGGGCGGGCGAGGGCGTGCAGGGCCCACCGGGCGCCGCGCTGGGTGGTGCGTTGCACGCGGGCGGCCGCCTCACTGCCCTCTCTCCCGCCCCGGTGGCCCCAGCTGGGGGGCTGCGGCATCCTTGGGGTTGGCATCTGGCTGGCTGCCACGCAGGGGAACTTCGCCACCCTGTCCTCCTCCTTCCCGTCCCTGTCGGCCGCCAACCTGCTCATCGTGACTGGCGCCTTTGTCATGGCCATCGGCTTCGGGGGCTGCGTCGGGGCCATCAGGGAGAGCAAGTGCCTCCTGCTCACGGTGAGTGTCCCCGCACGGCCCCCTCCGGGGCCGGCGCCCCCTCCTGCGTGGACCCCCAGGACCGGAGCAGGTCACCACCGTGGCCTGTGGCGGCCCCTTGCCGGAACGGACGCGCCTGAGTGCAGCCTATACTGGGCCTGTTTTCCCTGGGACACCCTTCCGGGGACTCCCTGCCCCCCAGACCCTCGCTCGAGAGGCTCACAGTCCCCCCCCTCTGCCTTGGAGGCCGACTGAAGGCAGGACGCGTCTCGGGTCTTCGGGAACATCAGTCACAGACAACAGAGGCGGGAAGGGCCCCGGGCCAGGCTCCTCACCTATTAATGTCCGGCTGAGGCCTTGGGCAGCTCCAAGTCCTAAATCACACCGTCGCCTCGATCTTGTGTGAGGGGCCCTTGCCCGGGTGGGGCCTCGGAGGGTCCAATTGCTCCCCCCAGGCTTGGGGCTCCTCCATGGAGCAGCAGGTGGGGATGTGGCCGGGTCCCCGGCCGCCCTGAGGCAGGAAGCTGCGGTGTGTGGGGGGCCCTTGCCCACAGGGTGACTTGGGAGTTCAGAGCCCGGTGCCTGCTGGTGGCAGCTAAGCCCTGAGTCCTGAGCCCACACGCGGGAGGCCCGATCGGGGACCCCAGGAGAGGACAGGGCCTGCTTTGCATCGTCCCATCTCCGTCTGCAGGAAAGGCAGGGTGGGCAGAGGGTGCCTCTGCAGCTTCGCTGGCCTGGGCCTCTATGGCCAAGGTCAAGGCTATGCCTCTGAGGGTGTTGGAGTTGGGGACTGCCACCAGCGGGCAAGCTCTGTGCAGTCAGGTGGGGCTGCTCTGAGGAGCGTGACCCCCAAGTCCTGGGTCATTGCCTCCTGACAGCTCCCTCCCCCACCAGGGCCCCCCTAGGCTGCCCGCCCACCACAGGGACACAGGCACACAGCACAGGCGTGAGGCTTGTGTTCCTGAGGTCAGTGGAGCAGGTCCAGAGCCGCTGGCTGGAGGGGACGGCTCCAAGGGGGGTGCGGTGGCATCGGGACGTGTTGGTCTCCAGGGGCCGCACACCCGGCACTGGGGTCTCGGAGGTTTGCAGCCCCACCCTTGGCAGGCTCCACGGGCCGAGGGCGCGGCCAAGTCACTGGGGCCTGTCTCCCTGCAGTTCTTCGTGATGCTGCTGCTGGTGTTCCTGCTGGAAGCCACCATCACCATCCTCTTCTTCGCCTACACTGACAAGGTCGGCCCCCTGCACCCTCCGTGTCCTCACCACCCAGCAAGGGCCAGGGCACTGTGGGTGACAGGGCCAACAGCTGCAGTCACAAGCCCTGTGCAGTGTGGACGCTCTGCCGTCCCACCCACTGGGGACCCAGCTTTAAGCACAGCCGCCAGAGGCCACGCCGGAGGGGATGCCCGCGCCCTGGAGGCTCGGGGAGGAGGGGTGGCGGGCAGTGCTGAGCCCCTACTGTCCTCCCCACGCTTGTTGGGTGGGAAAATCTCCCGCCCCCATTTACTTGCTAATTTATTTACATCATTGAGGGCCCTTTTGCAGGTTTTGTTCTCTGGGTTATGCCCTAGGCCCGGAGCCTTATGTTGCTCACACGTGGGCCTCTCTGCCCTTTGGGAGCTCTCCTCTGGCTCCCGTGTCCCTCTGGCAGACTCCCCCCCCCCCCCGTGCACTTGCTGGGGGGCACGTCCTTCCTGGCACCTCCTGCCCCAGGCCCGGGACCGGCTGTTTCTCCAGGAGCCCCGGCTCCTTCCCCGGAGGACGTCTCGGGAGCCACGTTCTGGGGGCTGGCGTGCTCCCTGCCGCTGGGGCGTCCTCTCGGCTGACAGTGGAGCCGTGTGTGCACACAGCTCTCGGGCTTTCTGCGCCTGTGGGTGTCTGGACCTCGAGCAGACAGGAGTTCACGCTGGCGTGTCTCACTCTGGTCTGAACCAGAGTTCACCACGGCGGGGGCAAAGTCCTCAGCACAGGGATAGGGGGGTGTTTCCGGGAGGAGACGACTCCAAGGAGGGGGGTGGGCACGGCACCTGAGGGTCTGGATGAGGGAGGCGGGACTGGCCGTGGGGGGGGCCCTGCCGACCCCACTCACCCCACTGCACCTGCAGATCGACAGATACGCCCAGCAAGACCTGAAGAAAGGTCTGCACCTGTACGGCACCCCAGGCAACGTGGGCCTCACCAATGCCTGGAGCATCATCCAGACGGATGTGAGTCGGGGGGGCGGGGGCGGGGGGGGTGTGCAGGGACCACCCGCTCCCCAGCCCTCCTAGCACCTGTCTCTCTGCAGTTCCGCTGCTGTGGGGTCTCCAACTACACCGACTGGTTCGAGGTCTATAATGCCACCCGCGTGCCCGACTCCTGCTGCCTGGAGTTCAGTGACAGCTGTGGACTCCACACACCTGGCACCTGGTGGAAGGCGGTGAGCGCCTGCATCGCCCCCTCCCCCGTCCTGGCCCTGGGGACCTGGGGGCGGAGGGCTGGCCTCGGAGCCCCCGTGACAGACACCCCCCTCTTCCTTCAGCCGTGTTACGAGACTGTGAAGATGTGGCTCCAGGAGAACCTCCTGGCCGTGGGCATCTTCGGGCTGTGCACTGCCCTGGTACAGGTACGCTGGGTGCCTGGCCCTGCCCCAGCCTCCCACCTAGCAGCCCAGCTCGCCAGCGCCCGGGTTGAGGCTCCCTGAGCCCACACGGCTGAGCAGAGGGGGGCTTATGGGGGCTGCTCAGAGACTCGTCCCAGGGGAGGTGACCTTTGACATCTCAGGGACAGACAGGCAGGTCTTGCTCTGCGGCTGTAGGCCTACCTGGTGGCTGTGGTGGGTGGGAGTCACAGGACTGCCCAGTGCAGAGTGAGGGTGGGCTTCCCGGCCCCCAGGGAAGTCCTGGGTGTCAGCACCCAGGGGAGCATGAGGCCTGTCTGTGTCCGCATACTTGGATGTCAGGCGGCCCCCATTCCTGGGGTGCAGACAGATGGGGGTAGCAGCCAGATCACACAGACACTGAGAGGTGATCACAGCTGGGTGACAGGTAGGGAGGGGGCATGGGGCCCAGGACCCAACCTGGAGCTGATAGACCTGAAATACCCTGAAGCCACCAGCAGAACCCACAGTGGCCAAGCTAAGGGAGAGGCAGGTCCCGGCGGGGCTGAGCCCCAGGAACCCCCAGGGTGCCTCCTCCGCCTGTGGCGGGCAGGCCCTGCCACGGCTCAGGGGGATGTGGCCAGGATGCACCTGACTGCCAGGGCTGGGGGGCACCCCCAGAAAAGTGGGGTGCAGGCCATTCAGGAAGCCGTGGGGCGGGTCTGTGCTTGTGGCTTCCTGGAATCCTGCCCAGTCCCCCTTCGTGTCCCACAGATCCTGGGTCTGACCTTTGCCATGACCATGTACTGCCAGGTGGTGAAGGCAGATACCTACTGCGCGTAGGCCTCGCTGCCTGCCACCCCCACCCCCCACCTCGCTGCCAAAGGACGTCGTCTTCCTGCCTCTCCTGCTGCAGGACCCCGCACCGTCCTGGGCACGGCGAAGGGGAGGCGCGGCCGCTGGGACCCCCAGCCAGCCCTGTGAGCACCACGCTGGACTCGGGGTGGCCGAGCAGGGACAACATGCGCAGGGCTGGGGGTGGGAGGAGCTTCTGGCGCTTTTCATATCCGTGTATTCTGCAGAGCAGTGCTTCCCCCACGGCCGGGGCCTTTCGCCCGTGGGGTGGGGGTGAAGGGCCGCCTGCCGGTCCTGGTGCTCACGGCGGGCAGCCCCGCCACCCACATTCCACAGCGGAGCCAGGGCGGGCTCTGGGAGGTCTTAATAAAGCGCGTGGACAGCAGCTGCCACTGGTGTCTCTTGCTGCCCTGAGCCCTGGGGGGGAGTGCTGTGCCCAGACAGACCCTGTGTGGCCGTGGCCCCCCCACGTGGCCTGGTGCCTGGAGTGCGGTTCCCGGATGTGCGTGGGGCCAGCCACCAACCACGAAATTAGATGCAGGAAGTAGCACAGTGGCGCCTCAGAAGGGCCTTGTGCCTCCCTGGCCCACTCCCAGCTCGGCCCGTCCCATCCCCTGATGTGGGGAGGCCCCCCATCTAACCCAGGGCCTTGCCGGCCCCCAGGGGTCTCTCTGTTCCTGAACTTTGCCCCTTACCTGTTAAATCTGTTACGGACTTTGCAAAAAGAGTGGGGCTGGATGCCTGGGCCCAGAGGGGCAGCTGGTCTCCTGGGAGGGAGGCTGTGGGTCAATGTGGCCCCCAGTCTGTTCCCAGCCCCCACTCCTGCTGGCTCCAGGGTGCTGGCCTCTCCCTGCTCTTCCCAGGGACGCCCCCGAGCGTCACTGTTCTGTGGAGGACACACCTGCTGACATGCAACCAAGCACTGATCACGGCCACGGCCACAACCCAGACTGCCGAGTCCCTACCCCGTGTCTCCCCGACAGCACCTGCCTCCCTCCATGGAAGCCTCCGGGACCACCAGTGAACCTACCACCAGAACCAGCATGAGCTCGTGGCCTCCGGGCACATGGTGACCCACCAGCAGCAGACAGCTGGGGTCCCGGCAAGAAGAGCCACACGTCCAGCAGCACAGCCCCATCTCCCCCAGTGCTGCCCGGGGTCCCCGGGGTGCGGACCACACAGGCCTGCCCCACCCCGTCAGGTGGCTCCTGTGGACCCACGTGCAAGCTCCTTGCTGGATGGATGGAGGAAACTTGTCCCTTACAGCTCACAGCCCACGTGAGCCCTCAGGCTCCAGCCCTGACCCCACGTCCCCCGGGTCTTCAAGCTGCCTTGGCAGCCACATTCCCCCAGGGTCCCCATCCTCCGGCCAGACCCCGCCTGCTGCCTGTACTTGGTCCCCGGACTCACTCTTCTCACTGTGTGGGTGCCCCTGGGGTCCGACCTCAGGACCCCTCTCCCAGCTCCCACCCCCTTCACCGGTCCCATCTTCCGAAGCCCAAGCTGAGGAGCCCCCCACCCCCCACCCCCACGCACACTGGCGTCTGTCACCTTGTGGCTCCACGTCCACCGATCCCGGCTCATGCATGAGCCCAGCTCCAGAGGGGACTTCCAGAGCACCCCAGCCCTGGTGGGGGGAGGGGACTGGCCTGTGCCCACAGCTCCATCCACTGCCAGGGTGTCTGGTGTGGGGCCTCAGGGAACCCCGTGCTATGGCCCTATGTGCCAGTCAGCGTCCCTGCCCCACAAGCAGATAGGCACACGTGTGAACACGTGCACACACACCTGTGGAAGCTGAGCGCACGGACTTCTCGTGCAACACATCCTCCACCAGTCCTATTCAGGCCCCACCCCGTGAGCAGGTCTGGGGGGTCAGGGGTGGGGCAGCTGGCAGAGCCTGTTCCCCCTCCCCACCCGCCGCCCCCAGAACAGGGTTCATCCTTGGGGCAGCTCCAGAGGGGGGTGGCTCCAATTAGGATCTGGCCCTGCCCCTCAAAACATGCAACCTCCCCTTTGGAGCCCTTCTGGCTTCACGTCCACCCCAGGACTCCCAGCTCGAGGCTCTAACCCCAGTGTGTAGGGGAAGCCAGAGCCGTGGGGCGGCCGCACACTCACACACGGCGTCTGCCCTGGGTGGGCAGAACCCTGGCTCCGGGCCCTGGACTGGCATGGTTCCCGAGGGGTCCGCTGCTGGAGCCCATAGAGGTTAGTTACTGGGGAGTAGGCGTGAGCAGCCCCTCTGGCCGGGGGGGCTGCGGGGCTGGGGGCCAGAGTCTTTGGCTACTGGCAACCCCAGCATCTCCTGAGGTTTCATCCTGGGGGCCTAGCTACCTTGTGGGTGGAACCTGACTGTGAGGCCCACGGGGGTCCTTCCATTGCCCTGTGGGGTCCAGGGCCTCTGCAGATCGAAAAGCTGCTCTGAGCCCAGCTTTCTACAGCGGCGTACACCCTCGTCGCGTGCGGCTTGGCCGGCAGACTGAGCCAGCAGGGCAGCGGGAGGCCAAGGCCCCGCAGTACAGCCCCGGGCTGACACTGGGCTCTGCCAGAGGCCTGGGGTCCACCCGTGAGGGCCTGGTCCTGCCCCCACCTGGCCGACAGGCAGCAGTGAGGGCTGGGTGGGAGGGGCCTGCGTTCCCAGCACCCCCTCCAGGACTGCCCCCCCATCGCTGATGAGGAGGCATGGCTCCCACGGCCCCTCCCACCACCAGTCAAGGACCACAGCAGGAACCCATCGGAAAAGAGAAGAGTCTGTATTTTCTTATGAGCTGGTCACTCCACCGCTCAGGAGGGCACACGTCCCCGCAGCGCTGGGCCTAGAGCAGGTCGTAGAAGTAATCCAGGCCCTGGCCCAGCTCCCACAGGGACACGCCGACACCCAGCTCCCTGGCCAGCTCCAGCCGCACCTGTACAGACTGTGGGCCCGGGAGGCGTCAGCCCCACCTCACCCGGCGGCTGCCCCGGGGGGGGAGGGGGGGGTACGTGCCCTGCAGGCCCTGTGCTGCCCTCCGCTGCTGGCCGAGGTCAAGGGTGGCTCCGGAAGGGTGCAGTCCCTGCCCCCTACCCCCGGCACAAAGGCGGGCCCGCGAGTACCTTCAGAGTTGGGTAGAAGACGATGTGCCTCCCTCCGCGGCTTCTGCAAAAGAGGATTAGGCCTCCTGCCTCCTGCCACCCCCAACCCCACCCAACAGGGGAGCGCTGTGCCCTCCTCCCCGTCAGCAGAGGCCTCAGGCCCTGCTGGGAAGGCAGCCCCACAGGTCCCACGCCTTGGGCGGATCAGCCCTCAGGGCAGAGGTCGAGCTCAAGGCCCCGGGCCCTTGGCCAGCCTGGGCACTCACAGCCCTCACCTACGGCCGCCTCCGGACACTCACTTCTTGTACTCGAAGAAGTGCTCTGCTGCTTGACTGTCCCACACGATCCGGGGCCTGTGGTCTTTCAGGATCTGGATGTACCTGTGGGGAGCCGGACATGGGATGTACCATGTGGGAGTCCTCGAGACAGCCTGCACACCGGGACGGTCACCGTGGCGGAGGACCACGCGTGTACCCTGGACAGGAGCACAAGACGGGGCATGGGACACCCTGCCCCTGGCGAATGTGGGCTGGGGGCCTCACGTCCTCAGTGCAGGGGGGAGGGGGACGGGGGACACAAACGAGAGGGAACAGACTGCTCCAATCTCAGGAGCCTGGAAGCTCACTGCCCTGGGCTATGCAGGTGGGAGCACGGGCTGGCTGTCCTGACGGGGCCTCTGTGACAGCTACACCGTGAGTGTCCAAGTGGACAGAGCGAGGGCGTCTGGATTCAGGGCGCCGCATGTGCGGGGTGCACAGGGCATGCTAGGCACGTGTGGCAACCACCCTGAGCGCCACGGGGAAAGCGGCATGCGGGGGCATTCAGGTCAAACCCCAGGCCTCCCGGGAAGAGCAGGGCCTGGGGTCCCCAGCCCAGCTCTCCGGGGACAGCAGGCGGGGGCAGTGGTTTCCGAACTCTTCCAGAGGCCAGGCTGCCCCAGGGCTGCCCCATGCCCACAGCAGTCCTTTCTGACCGCCAGGAGCCGGGGGCGTGAGTCTGTGCTCCCTGCCCCCCAGACACACGCAGAGGACAGGTGACTTCCCAAGGTGCTGTGGGACCAGGACGGCAGGGCCTCCCAGCAGCGGGCAGTGTCCCCCGGCAGACAAGTGATGGAGGAGAGGGACGGGTGCCTACTGGTGAGGGGGTGACCTGCAACTCCAACCACCCAAGGTTATCGAATTATCCTTAATTGAAACACGGTTCTCAGTTCATTCAGATTATCTGTGATTTCTGATCCGATGTGTGCTCAGCGGCTCTGTGGGTAGAATCCAGGATGTGCAGGGCAGGGTGTGCAGGGCCAGACGGGAGGGTGCGGTGGGGTGAAGGGCAGGGCATTTGACCCAGCTGCCCCTGCTCCCAGGCTCCCACACCAGGGTCGTGGGCAGATGCTGCAGGTCGGGCCCTGGCGGGGGGGGAGGGGGGGGAGGGGGGAGCTGAGGCTGGGGTCGCTGCCCTCTGAGTGACATGGCTGGGGCACACAGGACCCCGTGCCGCCTGAGCGCAGCCCCAGGGACACAGGCCTTGGGGAGCAAGCCCTGGGTGAGGGCACAGTGGGGCGCAGACGAGAGACGGGAGGGGAGGGCCCAGGGGGAAGGGAAGAGACAAGGGAAATGAAAGGTGGGAGCCAGAGACAGATGCAAGTGGGGGAAATACTTCAAAAACAAGGGCGGAGCGTTTCCCCAGCTGATGCGAGCGAGTGAGCGAGCCCTCAAGCACACACGGTGCAGCTCTGGCTGCACGAACACCCAGACCGGGCAAGCCCGCAGACGGAATGCAGCCTGGGATCACGGGGGCGGGGGGCTGGGAGTACTGCTAAGGCGGCCCAAGGCTGCTCTTTGGGGAGGAAAATGTGGAATTTGAGGTGCTGGCTGCACACTTGAGATGAACGCCCCGGCACCCCACCCCCTGAAACAGCGGGTTTACGGAGTGTGGACCCCCCCAAAAGGTACAAGGCTGAGGCTAAGGGTGCCAGGAACCCCAGGGAGAGGACATTCTGCACTGGGACGAGGACGTTCCTGAGTCTTCGGGTGGGGGGGGAGGGGCACCCACGGAGACCACCTGGCAGCCGCTTAGAGAAAGGACTCCAATGGCTAATGGGCAGTGAGGATGCACATGCGCAGGACCCACCACAGCCAGGGAGGGGAGACCCCAAGGAGGGTCGGAGGGGTGCCTCCTGCCCCAAAGGATACTGGGATGTGGCTTCTCACCTTCACTGGTGGGACCTGAGGTCGCCCTGCACTCAATGCCGGGACCCCTGCCCCACTAGACCAGAGGCACGGGACCGTCTGGACGGAGTCTGAGCAACCCACCCGTGCC